CTTTTAATGTCATTTACGCAAGCTATCAACACAGATAAGGACTGTGCCAGGTGTATTGGTTAGTATAATTGTGTGTCATCTGCATAAATATTGATAGGAAATTGTTGAAATTCAAAGATGGAGCGGATGGGGAGTATATATAAAGCAAATAGGATCGGACCCAAAACGGAGCCCTGCTGCACCTCACATGCAACAAAAGCATTTTCAAGAGTTGTTATCACAACATATTTTCTTTTGTCAAATCAACTTTATAATAATTTATTTAGTTGAGATAATGTATTATTTTGAGTTTCTGATGGTTAAATTAATATCCTTCATTGTATTAACTCACTTTTTCCAGTTCAATCAACTTAAAATTTTAAGGCAACCCAGGTTACTTACTTTTTTAAGTTAAACCAACAATATTTTTTTTACAGTGTAGTAATCACAACATTTTTTTCTTTTGTCAAATCAACTTAAATCATTTATTTAGTTCAGATAACATATAATTTTGAGTTTCTGATGATTAAATTAATCTACTTCATTTTATTAACTCACTTTTTCCAGTTCAATCAACTTAAAATTTTAAGGCAACCAGGTTACTTACTTTAAGTTAAACCATCCATATTTTTTTACAGTGTGGAAATGAAGAAAGTTCACCGGTTTTTACAACGAAACTCCTCTTAGTGAGATAAGACTCGCCAACCTCGTTTTTAACCTATTTAAAAGAATGCATATAAATTCGTGATTTGTATTAATTTTTAAATAAAAGTATTATATATTAGTTTATTTGTGTGTATGCTATATTTTCATATAAATAATACATATATATATGCTCATTTATTATTAGTTCAAATATTTTATTTATTATTAACTATTTAAATAAATTATATAATATTTATAATAACTATACAAACTGACAGCTACATTAAAAGCTAAAATAAATAAATTAAATTATACTTTAAATTAAATTTAAAATGAAATAATTTGTAAATTGTAATTATACATATTTTTTAAAACCTATTATACCTATTATTTTAATTTTATTATTGTGCTTATTTGCATAGTTATAAATAAGTATTAAATAAATCAAATATTTGTTTTATTTAAATGCATATTTTTGGCGTGAAACATGAAAATTTCCCGTTAAATAACTGTGCGACTATGGATAAATCATATTCGCCAGCGAAGTTATTGGTTAATATTATTTTCTCTACCTATACGCCAATTTACTGCCTTGAGTACCCAGAAAAGCACTAATTATAAATTTAACAAATTATTATTATTATAGGTTGCATTGAAATTATTATATTTGTAAGATAAACTCTCCTAAAGTGTCGTATTTTTCTTTATCCACAACTTTCCAAATATTTGTGTGTGCACTAGAACTAAAAAAAAGACTTTTTAACTTAGTAAGTTAAAAAGCAAGAAATATATACTATATTGGCCAAATATGTAAATTTCTCAACCGAAGTCGCCTCGTAATAACGACTTTGAGCTTGTAAATAGCATCTTCCCATGAGGACTTGAATCAGCTGGAAAGTCATTAAAGTTATTGCGTTTTGATGAAAGATTATGAAAACAAGCATTTCCTCCTTCAGAGTAACACCCAGTCTTGATTCGGTTGAAGTGTGTGTGCTGGATAACGGCGGAGGGTTTTATTACGGAAGTGAACTGGATGAGTTTTGATGTCTTGTTATCTTTCACATCAGCTTGAGGAAGGGATCCAGCACTCTATTCTCCGCACCAGTGAATCCACTCCATGTTCCAGACGTCAAAACTCCCTCCGTCTGTCACTCGCCCCAAACCGCTGTCGTTTAGCGGTGCCGTCACTGGGGTTTATTATTAGCTTCAGGTTCGCTAACACCCATCACACATCGTCTTTGTCCTGAGGGCAGAGTTTCAGAGTTAGATCTGAATTAGAAATCACAAAACATTGGACTTTGTGTTCGTTTGGAGATACTAAAAAGGCCCAAACTGAACCTGAATCTCGAGCTGGAGCCTAGCGGTTAGCTTAGATGCTAGTTTTGCACGTTGTTAGCATTGAGTGTCAGTTTAGCATCAACTTTTTCATTGTATCTTAAAAAAATGTGACATTACCCATTACTTCTATGTTGCTTCATTTAGCATATAGGTATAATTGTTCTCTCTACGTCTCTTTATGTCCATGTTAGCGTTAGCATGAGTATTGTTTCTTCATTCAATAGTCTACTGTCTGGTATTTTAGCACAAAACGGCTTTCAAAGATTAAAAAACAGACAACGATTCATTGCTAGCTTCTTTCAAAGCCTCTAAAATGTCAAATCAATCTGGAATAAGAGTATTTATCTTATCAAATGTAGCTTTTAGCTTTCCAGAGAATTTACGAATGTTCATTTTTTATTCTTTATCTTTAAATAATTTGACATCTATTTTTTTATATATATATATATATTTCCCCATTAGCTTGCTAAAAAAGCTAGCTTTCTTATTTTAGTCAGCATGAGTGTTGTTTTCATTTTAACACAGTCTAATGTGTGCTGTTTTAGCATTAGCATTAGCCTAAAGTCCTCCACTGATTAAAAAAAGGAAAACAGTTAATTGCTAGCTTCATTCAAACGCCTATAAAACATTATAATCTATGTGGAAGAAGAGTAATAAACATACATTTGTGTTTCTGTCACGTTTCAGCTCGTTCTGAACAGTTGTGCGCGGCGAGTGGGCGAACGCTGGGATGTTTCCCAGAGATTTTCCGTTTTCCACTCAAAGCCGCCCGTAATGAAAGGATCTTGTATGATCAGGGAGATTAGCATGGCAGAATCTTAATTCGCTTGTCGGGGGGAATGTTTGGGCAAGCAAAGTAATTGCATGTACGCTAATCAGCGTGTGGGCGCGCAGTTACACTTCTGCCTCTGTCGCGTTATTAATCACGACATGATTGGTCCTCGGTGAAGGGCGGCTCATGCTAGCGCGTACAGGTCTGTTGGGAACACGACTTTAGTGAGCAACACAAACCATCAGTCACTGCTAAAGCCACGCGCTACTTGTGGACCGAGGGGTTTAGAGGGAATTATAGCGGTGCTAGTGTGTTTGCTAACTTAAGAGCGTCTCTTTGCTAATATAAGAATGCTAATCTTCCAGCTATGCGAACTCAAATGCGTGTGCTATTGATTGTGCACATTTGTGTGTAGTATATGTACTTGCCTTGGTTTAAAAGCACATTTTATGGAAAGTCTAGCGCCTCCTTGAGTACTGGAGGACTTATTACAACACTTTTTTTTTTTTTTTGCGTTTATTAAATAAATATTTCATTGTGGTGTTTAGATACATGATGTATAGGATAGTGGAGCACAAGCTAACACTTTTTGACTTTGTTAGTTTGTGTAAATCCACTTTCCCACATTAATTTCCCATGTCTAGTACGTTTATGTGGTTTTGTTTCATTAATACAAAGTATTTTTTTTGTCTCTTGATTTGCCCTGAAATAATGGAAGTGAAATGTGACAACATGCCCCATAGGTGTGGCACATTATAACATGAACATATGACAGATTATAATGTTATATAATCTCATCAAAAAAATATACAAGACAAACTAAAACATTTTGTCAAAAACTCGAGGGTTTGAGCAAACAAACACACATCCTCAACCCATGTTGCTCCGTGACGTTCAGCGATCGCTTCGGCCAGGTGTTTATAGCATAAGGGGGCGGAGCTTTCGATTCTAGAGAGCATTTGATTGGACAGATGATGTGAAGAGTAGCTGAAGTCCGCGGTGATGTCATAAAAATCCCTGATCCGTTTTAGCGTTAGTGAGAGACTAAGTTTTGAATGCTTATATCTCCTAAATGTGAATTTTGTCATTTTTGAACACACCAGCTTATTCACAAACTTAAGCCTAACATATTCATACTGGAAGTTAAAAAAACATTTTGAGCAGTGTGTGTGTGTTGCGTGTCTCGTGTGCTCAGGGTGAAGCAGAAGTCATGTTGAGCGCTGGTGTTCAGACGAGCTGATGTGACAGAGACCCGTTCACAGCCCTGATTCAGTGTGTCAGTGAAGAGACTAATAACCTCCTGTGAACATCCCTCACAAACAGCCCTGAGCACACACACACACACACACACCTGCTGAGAACACACACTGCCAGCGCTTCACACGTCACACTGTGCACTGAGGCTGACCAGGTCAGAAATATTACAATAAATTACGTATAAACACTACCAGTCAAATGTTTTTGATCAGTGAGATTTTTAATGTTTTAGAGATCTCGTCTGATCACCAACCCTGCGTTTATTATTAGTTGTGTAGATTTTTATTTCAGGATTCAAAAGATCAGCATTTATCTGAAATAGAAAGATTTTGTAACATTAAACACCACCATTCAAAAGTTTGGGGTCAGACAGAATTGTTATTGTGTTTTTTTGGGGGGGAAATAAATAAATAAATCAATACTTTTATTCATCAAGGATGGATTAATTATTTAATTATTGATTGGGTTAGGGTTAAAAGTTACTAAAAGTTACAGTAAAGACGTTTATATTACAAAAGATTTCATTTAAAAAAAAAAACTTCTATTCATCAAAGAATCCTGAAAACATTGATATTATAATAATCATAAATGTTTCTTGATCATCAGATCCTCATATTAGAGTGATTTCTGAAGGGTCATGTGACACTGAAGACTGGAGTAATGATGATAAATTCAGCTTTGATCACAGGAATAAATGACACTTTACTGTATATTCACATAGAAAACAGCTGTTTTAAATTCTAATAATATTTCTGAATTTTACAGCATTATTAATCAAATAAATGCAGCTTTTGTGAGCGGAAGAGACTTCTTTTAAAAACATTACAAATCTGATATGAAGTTTCACGTATGAAATCAAGAATTCTGCGGTACATTTATTTAATGTAGTTTTAGAAATTGCTGTAGTTGACAGATATCAGGTCAAATGTGTGTATCATAATCCATGAAACACTTTACGCCAGAATCTCTATTAAAACTATTATGTGTAGATTAATGACTGAGACTGGACTCAATGACAACAGTATATGAGTTTATTATCTAATATAATCAGAAAATGAGGCAAGACCAATAAAAAATGTACAAACAGGATGAAACGAGATCTTTTCAATGAGAAATCATCAGACTGAGGAAACTTAAATTGATCATGGACTCCAGAACAAACAAAGAAATATATACATATATTTCAACAGGAAACAAGGCACATATATAGTACTTACAGGTATAAAATATGTGTATAAACATCTGATTGAGAAAGCGCTCTCTGATAAAAAATGGTACTTACTTTTTTTTTTTTTTTTGCAGATAATATGAATTATTTTAATCTGTTGACAGTCCTAAAAAATTGTTGTTTTTGGTAAAGATTTGTAGGACTTTGTTTTCTGCATAATGGGAATTTTAGATCATATATACATATATATATTTACAATTTTTCTTTGTTTTTCAATTTTCCAAAATTCAAAGGAAAATTGAGGAAAACAACAAAAGTCGCTTTCATCACGGGCTGAACAGTCATACGAACGGAAATAAATGGTTACGGTTGTATTTCCACTTGGATTGGTTTGGCACATTATGAACGTTCTCAAGCCGGAAACCGCTGGAATAAAACCTGACTAATAACAATACGTGAAGAATAAGTGACGTCGCCACTCAGGATTGGTCACTTGTCTTTTGCCTGGCTTCCAGTTTCTCTGTAGATGGCCAAGAAACATCTGATCATCCTCTCTTCACTTCTGTAAACTCTAGTGTTACCAAGACAAACACTGATCCCATATCAGTCCCACAGTGGAAAATGAGGCCATATCATGGAGTGGAGCGGTTCAGCAAAGAGAACGGCTTGACCCGACCGTGGAAAAGCAGATCAAGTGATTCATTCTAAAAGAAATGCTAAAATGCAAAGATTAGAGATGGAAGAAAACTTAAGAAGATTATTTTAAGGATATGTAGGTGAGTCTTTAAACATTTACATTTATTCATGTAGCTGACGCTTTTATCCAAAGCGAATAACAATTGCTATATTGGAGCAACTAGGGGTTAAGTGTCTTGCTCAGGGACACATTGGTGTCTCACAGTGGATTCGAACCCAGATCTCCACACCAAAGGCATGTGCCGTATCCACTGCGCCACCACCACCCCGTCTAAAGGTCTTTAGATGTTTCTTGGACTTTACAAAAGGACTCAGTTGTCTGGAAGGGTTGGGAAGATCCGTCCACCGCTGAGGAACTGTGAAAAGGAAGGTTCTGGTCAGTGATCATGTTCATCTCTGTGGAGGAATCAGGAGGAGCCGCTGACTCACAGAGACCGTCTTCTGGAGGGGACGAACCTTCATTAGAGGGAGTGGAGAGAAGAGAGACCTGAGAGACCAGAGCCGGTGCCTGTTCCTGCGAGGGTTCACTTTTGTGATAGATGGGCGTCTTCTTAAAGACTTTGAAGAGACCTAAACAGAGGTGTAATATGCTTTAATCAGATTCAAAGAACAGAATCATTGGATTCACATATGATTGCACACACACAAACATGTAAAACATTTGCACTTATGATGGGAATTATATCTCACAACAGGTCATTAGTACTTACAAAATTTTTCAGTTTTTTCCAGTTTCAAAATTACACACAGTCCAATCAGTACAACAATAAATGAGATGATGATGATTAGAGCCAGATACATGAAAGATAAAGCATCTGATGCAGATCCTAGAACACAGAGAAACATAAACACAACACACAATGAAAATCTTTAAAAAAACAATTAACAACAACAAAACAAAAGCAAACGTAAAAATAGGAAAAAAGTTAATTCTCACATATTTGGCCTCTAAAAGAAGTAAAATATACAGGTAGAATAATTAACCATGTTTAAACTCACTGTTCGTCTTGATGTGATCCTCAGTCAGAGTCTTCTGGATCGGCTCAGTCAAACTCTTGTGCTCGACCACACAGGTGTAGTTGTTCTTCTTCCATTCGTCTGGAAGGATAAACAGGGTAAGTGTCCTCTGGAAGGTCCCGTCCTCATTTGGTCGTGTGTCTCCAGACTCCACAAATGCACTGTAATCGCTCATAGCTTGTCCATTCTTCCTCCATGAAATGCTTGTGTCTCTGTAGAGAAAGCCTGTGACGTGACATGTATAATAGTCTGGGTTCTTCTGCAGCAGAGACACTTTAGGAAGCTCTAGAAGTGTAAACACAGAACAAAACTGAGACAGAGAAACACATGCACTTTATACTTATCACAGTTTAACAATCTCTAAAGTTGACCTGCATAGAGTTATCAAGCTGTCTGATAAAACATGGTTTATCTGGATCTCAAGAAAGAAATGATCGGTCTGTCCTCTGATACTGTACCTGCTTTATTAAAAGTGTCTTTAGACAGATGTAGGAACTCCCTCAGCCAGTAAACACACTCATGATTGTAGTATTGTTTCAGAGATGTAAGCAGTGCTGTGTCTTTATTCCACTTCTCCACTGTGATGAATCCCTGTGGTACATGTGTGATGTATCTGTCCTCCTTCAGGTCCAGTTTGATGAAATCCTCTCCATCATAACCGTACTCATCAAACCCATCTGAGTCTCCAGTCTCATCATCATATTCACATCCATACCTCCTCTGATACACATGAACACCTGAAAGAGAGAGTAGGATACTGTTCTTTATGTCTTCTAACGTGCAAACTAGTCATTTGATGTTGTTAAAAATAAACCCTTCAGGTTAATGCAAGACTCCTCATGATCCTGTCGAGGCTTATTCTGAGATAACAACTGACTGGATAGACACAGTAGCTACACTATACCGCTTATTACATGGCTACCTGTAACATAAGTAAATAATTATACATGAAATGTTGATTTGAGTTGAAATATTCTATTAGTGGGTGGGCTAACGAGTTATTTTGGGGTGTTTTGCTTGTTTCGACTCTGAATGGTTAAATTTTCTGTACAGCATCATGGGTAATGTAGTTTTCACCATAAATTCCATTTTTACATGATTATTTAAAGAAATAATTTGAAATAATGCGGACTGGCAGCTTCAGCAGACGCAAATATCGATTAACAACCTCAGTTCACAGTAGCTCTGACTTTAACAGTTTAAAATTAGTTAAAAATATAGATACAATTTATAGTTAAAAATGTATAAATTATGAAGAAAATGAATTTTTTACTTCCAGAACCCGACTGTTGGACCCTATACAGTAATGCTATTGACCTGGTCATTATCGGGTAATAACAGACCTCAGATGTCCCGATTGACACAAAAAAAAAATTGTAAAATTTTCTGTCAGGGGCAACAGCGCTCCTAGTAAAAAAAGTTAGTCTGGAACCTTGTAAGATATCACGATTGACCAATCAGAATCAAGCATTTCAGAGAGCCGTGTAATAATGTATTTTCTCTCACCGTGTGTGTGATTGAATCGCTCCATTATATCATGAATGTTGTTTCTGTGGATCTGCTGTACATGTTTTCTGATCTCTATGTATTCCTTCCACATGGGTGTAGATGCATAATCCTTCATCCAGTCCTGTCTGGGAATCAGCTTCTTTATGTTACTGTCATAATAATCGATCTGTTGATCATCCAGTGTCGTTACAGCAGAAAACTCTGAAGTTCCTGCAATCGTCTGTCCGGTTATTTCAGTGTGTGTGATGATGAATCTGTGTAACTCTGAACACACATTGAACACACAATCAACAACACTAAAAAACACAAAGCTGCAAACTGGTAAATATACTGTACAGTGTCACACATGAAATTACTATTAGTTACCAAGATAATTAATTCACTTTTTTCTTTTTCTAATTCATTAGGAAATCAAAATGTGTAATTCTAATATATATATATATATATATATATATATATATATATAGGGCCTATATGTTTTTTTCACAGTGCCTCAGTTTTTAATCTGCGTACACTTGTTCAAATTCCAGAAGCCGTTTTACTTTCATTTCAAATCAATCCTTTTGCACAGATAACTAGTGTATATTTCACTGAACACCCGCGGATGAAGCATATTCTTTCATTTAGCTACAGTAAAATGTGCATAACTTTAGTAATTCATACAGGACTGTTCTCAGACTTGTTTAAAGTTTTGCCTTAAATAGACCCTGTCTGCGTGAGAGAGATCGACGCCATTAGAAAACACTGGAACGATTTCAGTTCAGCTTCAACAAAACAAAATCCAGCTTCAGTTAATGACAGAAACAATAAGAACAAATTATTATCCTGGATATTATAAAAGTTGTTTAAGGAAATAATACACATCAGATTAAAAATATCTCCTGATTTTCTGCCAGCTCAACACACGGAAGTAGTCTAGATGAACGCCTTGTTGACGGAGAACTCATCATTTAAACAACTTCACAAAATCATTCTCACCTGAGTAAACCAAAGGGATGAAGATGAAGAATATGATGAACTTCGACATTATGTATGAAAATCCTTGCTTCTGAACCAGAAATTGTTGTGTAGTCATTGAAGAGCGCAATAAAACTCTTCAGCTTTTGCTACATATGATTCAACTGGTAAAACCAGTTTCTGAACTGACGTCACTGCAGCTCCAGAGAAACAGCCTCAGTACGGAAGTGAAGGGAGGAGGAGCCTTTTACTCACAGGTAACTTCACTCAAAACTGGTTTTATCAGTTTCATATGCAGCAAAGGCTAAAGAGGTTTTACAGCGCTCTTTGACAAGTCTGCATAAAGAATTGTGGGTCAGATACAGGATTTTCATCTGCAAGAATGATGAATTCTCCGTCAGCATGGCCCTCAACTTCTGTGTCTTGAAGAGACATAAAATCATGAGACATTTTAACAGAACAGATTTAATTATATAAAAAGTCAGCTAAGAATTTAAGGTGGGATTAGTTTCTAAAATTAATGTTTTTGTGTTGTTTGTTCAGAGTTACACAGATTCATCAGCACATACACTGAAATAAACGGACAGACGGCTGCAGGAATCCCTGAGATTTCTTCTGTAACGACACTGGATGATCATCAGATCGATTATTATGACACACGTGGAAGGAATACACTGAGATCAGAGAAAACTACAGCAGATCTACAGAAACAACACTCATGTGAGACACTTTTTAAATGTGAAAAAGTATGTTGTGAATTAAACAAAAAGACCAGATGTTAATTTTATCTCTCCCCGTCCCGTTATCTTCTTCAGAAGTTCATGCGTATCAGAGGATGTAGGCTATAGCTGTGATTATGATATTATCATACGGTTATGATGGAGAAGATTTCATGTCACTGGACCTGAAGGAGAGCAGATACATCTCACCTACTTCTACCAATTACCTACTATGAATACTACGATCATGAGTGCGTTCGCTGGCTGAAGGAGCTCCTGAAGTTAACGAAAGCAGATTTAGAGAGACGAGGTAACTTGTTCAGACATTCACTTTGTCCAACATTTTTTTTTATTATACAACCACTTATTATTATAATAAGTCATTAACGCATGTTTTTTTCTCCTGTATTGCTGTATTGCCCATGTTAATGATCTGAAGTATTAAATATTTTCCTCACATTTCTCTCGATCTTTTTCAGCTCCTGAAGTGTCTCTGTTACGGAAGGATCCCTCTTCTCCAGTAGAGTGTCATGCTACAGGTTTCTACCCATCAGGAGTGACTCTTAGCTGGTTCAGAAATGGAGTAAATCACTATAATGATGTGGATCTTGGAGATCTTCTGCCAAATGTGGACGAGACCTTCCAGAAGACATCTAGCCTTCGTGTTTCTCCAGACGAATGGGAGAACAACAGGTTCAGTTGTGAGGTCGAGCACCAGGGAAAAACCATCCAGAAGATTCTGACTGACCAGGAGATCAAGAGCAACTACAGTAAGTTATTAATAGTGCGGTAGAGTGTTTATGGTACTTGTTATAAAGTTTATCTTAGATCTAGGACAGAAAGCTTTCAGATTTTATTACAAAATATCTTAATTTGTGTTTCAAAGATGAACGAAAGTTATGGGTTACTTTGGAACGACATGAGGGCGAGTAAATGATGACAGAAATGCCCGTTTTGGCTGAAATTACCCTTTAAGACTGCACATATCTATCATATATCTCTTTTTAAAATCAAAATCACATATTAAAGTTGAAAGGGATAATTGACCTGAAAATGATCGTTCTGTCATCATTTACTCGCCCTGATGTCACTCAAACCCGTGCGACGCTCATAAAGACGACATACAGCAATATTCTGATCTTTCATACAGTGAATGTGACTGGGGGAAGAGTTTGTCAAGACAAAAACACAATATAAGTATTATAAAATTAGTCTATATGACTTGTGGGCTTTATATATATAGTCTTCCAAAGTCATGTTGCAAAGTATTCATCTTAGTCAAGTGTCAAGTAAAGTGTGAAGCCAGTCGGCAAAATACTTGAAAGATAAGTTTATCTATAAACCCACCAGTTGAGCCACTCGTGATCGACTAGTTTTACCGCAAATTAGTTAAATAATCTAGTCTAGAGCGATCATGTATGCGAGACAGATGTTGAGCTCCTAACGGCGTGGACACAAAACCAGGACTGGAGTCAAAGCCAATTCCTCTCCGCACTCTAAGCGTTCTGTTATCACTCCGATTAAATCCACTACGGGTTTTCCAGTCTCACTCACAGGAAAAACTGCTCCGTGTTCGCGTGAGCAAAGTGCACACGTTTCCCTAAAAACACCCAGCACAAACAGAATGCCTATTCTTAAAGTCTTGTGCTGTTTTATGAAATCATGGTTTCGTTTTTAGTTCATTGGCAAAATATACCGCTAGAGACCTTCATGTTAGTTTATACTTTTGCACGTTCGGCAAAAGGCGGATTTGAACTCGGGTCCAAGCGCAGCATCAAAAGCTCTTTCACGAACTACAGGCTCTACGATCTACGCCACTGTAGCTCTTGCATGACGGGCGTGTTTTTGCCATAAAGACAGGCACTTAGTGCAAATATAGGCTATGCATTTATCAGACCCCCTCCGGGATAAGTCTCACGCCAAGCTAAACTCAAAAGTTGGCAGCCCTGGTTAGTTGTTTCAGCCTTGTATTGCTGTGTCTGTACTGACGTCGTGGGCTCAGATTGGTTAGTTTGGTCCGCTGTGTCCGGAAGGTTAACACCCATTACCTTTACGGGCGAAACATGTATGTCATGAGCTCCGGTCCAGATGTAAATATGTGTCGAACTGCACTATCAGTATGACCCAGAATCAGACCGAAAAAGCCGCGATGAAGAGACTGAGAGTCAAACAGAACCTCACGACACACGATCTCTTAATAAACGGTTCTGAATGATAATTTGCTACATTTTTTAACTTTATGCACGTTTGTTTTACACAATAGCATCTGACTGGCAACAATAGCAACTGACTGGCTACTAATGTGATACTCAAACAGCGTTGGCATGTTTACATTCTTGATCAAATCGAAAATAACGTCATAAAGCATACATGAAAAATACATTTACAACATTAGCACTTATACAAAATTCAGGTCCATAATGTTTGTACGCGTTTGTCGTGGACACAAAATAGCATAACTAGTAGCCTATATAAAGCCAGCGCTGGCATTTGAAAAAAACTAAAACACGAGGCTACGTCTGGAATTATACTAATACATTTAAAATGATGAAGTCTTAGCCTACTTACAGGTTGTGGCCCAACAACTGCTGCCTCTGGTTTTAAAGTCGGAACTGCTTCATGTTTTAGTAACAGTTTCTTGTTGAATCCGGTGTTGAACTCGTGGAGATTCTGGAAGCTGTCTCTCGTTAAATGCGCAGCACAGAGAGCTAGATTACGATCGGCATTTTCAGGAACATAATCAAACATAAATAGTATCCATTGTTGACGAAGTACAGCGTCCGTGGGAAGCTCAAACACAGAAGATCTGACAGCTGCGTGAACAACACACTCGACGAGCTGGAGCTGCTGAAATATGGCCATGCCCTTTTCTGCTTATTCCGGAGGGAGGGTTGATGCAAATGTGTGGGTTAGTGACGTACCATAACCCAGCTGTAGTCCCAATCCAGTCGTTTTTGTAGGCAATTATACTTCCTGATTTTAAAAAGACGATATCTCTGCTTACACTGAACTTTCAGCGCTGCAACTTTGCAGATACTGTTCATGCACCAACAGCAACATTACAGACTATTTAAATCAAAAAAGTGAAATCGCAGTCAACCCCCCCTTTAATGACAGAGACTGGACTCAATGAGAACAGTAGGAGTTTATTATTTAATATAATCACAAAATAAGGCAAGAGAGATAAAAAAATGTACAAACAGGATGAAACGAGATCTTTTCAATGAGAAATCATCAGACTGAGGAAACTTAAATTGATCATGGACTCCAAAACAAACAAAGAAATATATACATATATTTCCACAGGAAACAAGGCACATATATAGTACTTACAGATATAAAATATGTGTATAAACATCTGATTGAGAAAGCGCTCTCTGATAAAAAATGGTACTTACTTTTTTTTTTTTTTTTGCAGATAATATGAATTATTTTAATCTGTTGACAGTCCTAAAAAATAATTGGTTTTGGTAAAAATTTGTAGGACTTTGTTTTCTAAATAATGGGAATTTTAGTTCATATAATATATATATATATATCATTAATTAAATATTAACAATTTTTCTCATTTAGCAAAATTCAAAGGAAAATTGGGGAAAACAACAAAAGTCGTTTGTATCACGGGCTGAACGGTTGTAAAAACGGAAAGAAATGCTTACGGTTGTATTTCCACTTGGATTGGTTTGGCACGATTACGAACGTACGAACGAGTAGGAAACCGTTGGAAGTATATGTGAAGTGACGTCGCCACTCAGGATTGGTCACCTGTCTTTTGCCTGGCTTCCAGTTTCTCTGTAGATGAACAAGAAACATCTGATCATCCTCTCTTCACTTCTGTAAACTCTAGTGTTACCAAGACAAACACTGATCCCGTATCAGTCCCACAGTGGAAAATGAGGCCATATCATGAACTGGAGCGGTTCAGCAAAGAGAACGGCTTGACCCGACCGTGGAAAAGCAGATCAAGTGATTCATTCTAAAAGAAATGCTAAAATGCAAAGATTAAAAGTGGAAAAAGATTATTTTAAGGATGTAGGTAAAGAGTCTTTAAAGGTCTTTAGATGTTTCTTGGACTTTATAAGAGGAATCAGTTGTCAGGAAGGGTTGGGAAGATCCGTCCACCGGCGAGAAACTGTGAAGGTTCTGGTCAGTGATCATGTTCATCTCTGTGGAGGAATCATGATGAGCCGCTGACTCACAGATCACTGACTTCCGGAGGGGACGAACATTTGATGAACTTTCATTAGAGGGATTGGAGAGAAGAGGGTTCTGAGTCGGTGGATGGTCTGGCTTGTAAGGGGTCATCATCTTCTTGCTGTCTGTGAAGAGAGATAAACAGAGGTGTGTCATGCTGTAATGTAATTCAAAGAACAGTGTCAAAGGATTCACATTATGATTTCTCATACACAATTCTTATAGGTTGGTCATTTTCACATTTCACATTCACTGCACTCTTCATGTATCGCCACACACAGAAACATGTAAAACATTTGCCCTTATGATGGGAATTATATCTCTCAACAGGTCATTAGTACTTACAAGCTTTCAGTTTCTTCCAGAGGTTCAAACGTTCACACAGTCCAATCAGTCCAACAATAACTGGGATGATGATTAGAGCCAGATACTTGATATTTGAAGAATCTGATGCAGGTTCTAGAACACAGAGAAACATAAACATAATACACAATTAATAATATGGCATAAAAACCTAAACAGCAACAACAGAACAAACAAACCTAAAAAACAACACAAAATTAAAGTCATTGTCAGTGTACAGTACAGGTAGACAAAATAGCCATGTTTAAACTCACCGTTCGTCTTGATGTGATCCTCAGTCAGAGTCTTCTGGATCGGCTCAGCCAAACTCTTGTGCTCGATCACACAGGTGTACCGGTCCTTCTTCCATTCGTCTGGACGGACATACAGGGCAACAGTCCTCTGGAAGGTCCCGTCCTCATTTGGTAGTGTGTCTCTAGACTCCAATTCCACAGAATCGCTCATAGCTTGTCCATTCTTCCTCCATGAAATGTTTGTGTCTCTGAAGAGAAAGCCTGTGACGTGACACTCCACATAATAGTCTGGGTTCTTCTGCAGCAGAGACACTTCAGGAAGCTCTAGAAGTGTAAACACAGAACAGGGAACAAAACTGAAGACAGATAAAGAAACACATGCACTTTATTCTTATCACAGTTTAAAGGGTCACTTCACCCATTTGCATTAAGCTTTATATCTTTAGAAACCCAGTCATATTTCTGAATGGTCATGGTTTATTCCCTTATTTTCCCCTGAGATGGGAGAAATAAGGATTTAAGTGTTTTACTTCCTGCTTATCGTGACGTAAAAATAGTCATTTTGCGTCACGATAAGCAGGAAGTCATATTTCATTTAAATCTGTTTAGACTACAAACATTAGCTCATTATTATTCCAGGGTGTTGGACCCACTCACCCACAGGCCTATTACAGATCAGTGGGTAGGACTTCACTTGCAGAAACTGAAATCAATATCCGCCATCTTGTTTGGAAGCTAATCTAACAAGCGCTGTGGAGATAGTAAGTTATGACAATGATGGAAGAAACTAAACATGATATTGAAGAAGATGATTTAGAAAGTCTGCTGCTCGAATCCGATGTCCGTGGCTGTCTTTACGAGTCGCAGTATAGTTTAGAGCAGCTGAGGCTCATTGAGGAGCAGGAGGCGGCTGCCTGTCGCGCTCGAGGACCCCGGACTGACTCTGGCGCTGGGCGGATTGCTGGTGCCCGTGCTCTCGCTGCATGCTACGGCCTACGGACACAGAGTCCGTCTGCTGCAGAGAATTTCAACAATGGCAATTTCTCCTGGAGGAAATCTCTGAATCAGACGAGCACACGGATGTTTGTGTTGTGATGTGAACCATCATAGTTTCGCCTGACTGAACATCCAGGTAACATGCAGTAATTCACCATATTTAGAAAGAAATACAAATGAGGAGTAATTCACTAATGAGTTTGCCAATGTAACGTTAACGGGGTTTGTTGTTGTGGGAAGAAGGAGGTGGGGATCGGCGAACATTTAAACATTTTAATAGTAAAATGAACAAATACAAAACGAAAGTATAAGCCAGCAGCCCCTCATTGACGACTGATGTCCACACACAACAGAAAATCAGGCCTGTTTCTCTCTCGATCTGCCATTTATGCTCCCGCTCCCCTGTGAGAGACACGAAGACAAGATACGTCCTGCTCGCCACAGCCAACTAACTAGAAATTTTGCGTGAAATGAATTTCAAACTCTGATGGCAGCTAACATTAGCCTTGTTGACGAAATAATTATCTCTCTGATGGGCGCGCAGTTCCGGATTAGTGGGTGTGGCTTGCTGAGCTGTGCAATGTGGTGCATTGTGGAAGTTGTTGTCTTTCATACAAATGGTCAAGAGGGCACCATATTCAAAAATTATTTTACCTTTCGACTATATATGATCCACTTTCAATAAAGATTAATGCTGAAATGGGTAAAATGCTCCTTTAACAATCTCTAAAGTTGTCCTGCATAGATTTATCAAGCTATCAGTTAAAACATGGTTTATCTGGATCTCAAGAAAGAAATGATCGGTCGGTCCTCTGATACTGTACCTGTTTTCTTAAAAGTAGCTTTAGACAGATGCAAGAACTCCCTCAGCCAGTAAACACACTCAAGATTGTAGTATTGTTTCAGAGATATAAGCTGTGCTGTGTCATTATTCCACTTCATCACTGTGGGTATTGCCTGTGGTACATGTGCGATGTATCTGTTCTCCTTCAGGTCCAGTGAGATGAAATCCTCTCCATCATAACCGTACCAATCAAACCCTTGTAAGTCTCCAGTCTCATCATCATATTCACAGCCATGCATCCTCTGATACGTATGAACACCTGAAATAGATATAGAGTTATTGGTATACTCATTTTTTTTGTACTTACTTTTTGTTTTAATGTACAAGATAATCATTTGATGTTTAAAAATGTAGTATAAGTAAGGGATAATATAAATAAACCCCTTCAGGTTCGCAGGGATTACTGAGACCGTCGGTCGTCAAGATGGTGGCGCAAAGCTACAGTGACATCATGTGACCCGAAACGAATACTATAATATCCACGACAATATCCGCAACAGATTAAAGCGCACGTCCGAGTGAATACAGTGCGGTGTGCGCAAGCCACACGAGAAAACACTGTATCCGCACCACTGATCACAGCGGCAACAAGCACTTTGATCACTTGTTTTAAAAAAAAATATAACATATGTGTTTTACTAAATATTAATACATCAAAAACTGTACATGATATCAGTGTCATGATGGGTTTTACTTCTTTCAGATTTTGGGTAACTGCACAAATTTGAGCGCACCGCCAACAGGGTGTGTGTGTGTGTGTGTGTGTAACCATTGCGACAAAACAACCAACTTTCGGACCCTGCACTTACTGTAAGCTTATAATTTCGTTTTTAAAAATATAATTATGTATTTAAAAGTTGCAGAATGGATTCATTTGAAAACTTTCGAAATCGGCAGATATAGGCAGGCAATGCAAAACGAAATCTTAGAGTTATTGCTTAGCTTCAACAACACAAGTTTGTTTTTTTTCCCCTCTGGCCTCGACTTGGTCTGTCTTGGTCTTGGTAGTGTCTTGGTCTTGATACCCTCTGGTCTTGGTCTTGGTCTCGATACCCTCTGTTCTTGGTCTTGGTCTCGATACCCTCTGGTCTTGGTCTCGATACCCTCTGTTCTTCGTCTTGGTCTCGATACCCTCTGGTCTTGGTCTTGGTCTCGATACCCTCTGGCCTCGACTTGGTCTGTCTTGGTCTTGGTAGTGTCTTGGTCTTGATACCCTCTGGTCTTGGTCTTGGTCTCGATACCCTCTGTTCTTGGTCTTGGTCTCGATACCCTCTGGTCTTGGTCTCGATACCCTCTGTTCTTCGTCTTGGTCTCGATACCCTCTGGTCTTGGTCTTGGTCTCGATACCCTCTGTTCTTGGTCTTGGTCTCGATACCCTCTGTTCTTGGTCTTGGTCTCGATACCCTCTGGTCTTCGTCTTGGTCTCGATACCCTCTGGTCTTGGTCTCGATACCCTCTGGTCTTGGTCTTGGTCTCGATACCCTCTGGTCTTGGTCTCGATACCCTCTGTTTTTCGTCTTGGTCTCGATACCCTCTGGTCTTGGTCTTGGTCTCGATATCCTCTGGTCTTGGTCTCGATACCCTCTGTTCTTGGTCTTGGTCTCGATACCCTCTGTTCTTGGTCTTGGTCTCGATATCCTCTGGTCTTGGTCTTGGTCTCGATATCCTCTGGTCTTGGTCTTGGTCTCGATACCCTCTGGTCTTCGTCTTGGTCTCGATACCCTCTGTTCTTGGTCTTGGTCTCGATACCCTCTGTTCTTGGTCTTGGTCTCGATACCCTCTGTTCTTGGTCTTGGTCTCGATACCCTCTGTTCTTGGTCTTGGTCTCGATACCCTCTGGTCTTGGTCTTGGTCTCGATATCCTCTGGTCTTGGTCTTGGTCTCGATACCCTCTGGTCTTCGTCTTGGTCTCGATACCCTCTGTTCTTGGTCTTGGTCTCGATACCCTCTGTTCTTGGTCTTGGTCTCGATACCCTCTGTTCTTCGTCTTGGTCTCGATACCCTCTGTTCTTGGTCTTGGTCTCGATACCCTCTGGTCTTGGTCTTGGTCTCGATACCCTCTGGTCTTGGTCTTGATACCCTCTGGTCTTGGTCTTGGTCTCGATACCCTCTGGTCTTCGTCTTGGTCTCGATACCCTCTGGTCTTCGTCTTGGTCTCGATACCCTCTGGTCTTGGTCTTGGTCTCGATACCCTCTGGTCTTGGTCTTGGTCTCGATACCCTCTGGTCTTCGTCTTGGTCTCGATACCCTCTGGTCTTGGTCTCGATACCCTCTGGTCTTGGTCTCGATACCCTCTGGTCTTGGTCTTGGTCTCGATACCCTCTGGTCTTGGTCTCGATACCCTCTGTTCTTCGTCTTGGTCTCGATACCCTCTGGTCTTGGTCTTGGTCTCGATATCCTCTGGTCTTGGTCTCGATACCCTCTGTTCTTGGTCTTGGTCTCGATACCCTCTGTTCTTGGTCTTGGTCTCGATATCCTCTGGTCTTGGTCTTGGTCTCGATATCCTCTGGTCTTGGTCTTGGTCTCGATACCCTCTGTTCTTGGTCTTGGTCTCGATACCCTCTGTTCTTGGTCTTGGTCTCGATACCCTCTGTTCTTGGTCTTGGTCTCGATACCCTCTGTTCTTGGTCTTGGTCTCGATACCCTCTGTTCTTGGTCTTGGTCTCGATACCCTCTGGTCTTGGTCTTGGTCTCGATATCCTCTGGTCTTGGTCTTGGTCTCGATACCCTCTGGTCTTCGTCTTGGTCTCGATACCCTCTGTTCTTGGTCTTGGTCTCGATACCCTCTGTTCTTCGTCTTGGTCTCGATACCCTCTGGTCTTGGTCTTGGTCTCGATACCCTCTGTTCTTGGTCTCGATACCCTCTGGTCTTGGTCTTGGTCTCGATACCCTCTGGTCTTGGTCTCGATACCCTCTGGTCTTGGTCTTGGTCTCGATACCCTCTGGTCTTGGTCTTGGTCTCGATACCCTCTGTTCTTGGTCTTGGTCTCGATACCCTCTGTTCTTGGTCTTGGTCTCGATACCCTCTGGTCTTGGTCTTGGTCTCGATACCCTCTGGTCTTGGTCTTGGTCTCGATACCCTCTGGTCTTGGTCTTGGTCTCGATACCCTCTGGTCTTGGTCTTGGTCTCGATACCCTCGTTTCTTGGTCTTGGTCTCGATACCCTCTGGTCTTGGTCTTGGTCTCGATACCCTCTGTTCTTGGTCTTGGTCTCGATACCCTCTGGTCTTGTCTTGGTCTCGATACCCTGTGTTCTTGGTAGTGTCTTGGTCTCAAGACCCTCTGGTCTTGTCTTGGTCTCGAGACCCTCTGTTCTTGGTAGTGTCTTGGTCTCGAGACCCTCTGTTCTTGGTAGTGTCTTGGTCTCGAGACCCTCTGTTCTTCGTCTTGGTCTCGATACCCTCTGTTCTTCGTCTTGGTCTCGATACCCTCTGTTCTTGGTCTCGATACCCTCTGTTCTTGGTCTTGGTCTCGATACCCTCTGGTCTTGTCTTGGTCTCGATACCCTGTGTTCTTGGTAGTGTCTTGGTCTCAAGACCCTCTGGTCTTGTCTTGGTCTCGAGACCCTCTGTTCTTGGTAGTGTCTTGGTCTCGAGACCCTCTGTTCTTCGTCTTGGTCTCGATACCCTCTGGTCTTGGTCTTGGTCTCGAGACCCTCTGTTCTTGGTCTTGGTCTCGAGACCCTCTGTTCTTGGTCTTGGTCTCGAGACCCTCTGTTCTTGGTCTTGGTCTCGATACCCTCTGGTCTTGGTCTTGGTCTCGAGACCCTCTGTTCTTGGTCTTGGTCTCGATACCCTCTGTTCTTCGTCTTGGTCTCGATACCCTCTGTTCTTGGTCTTGGTCTCGAGACCCTCTGTTCTTGGTCTCGAGACCCTCTGTTCTTCGTCTTGGTCTCGATACCCTCTGTTCTTCGTCTTGGTCTCGATACCCTCTGTTCTTGGTAGTGTCTTGGTCTCGAGACCCTCTGTTCTTGGTCTTGGTCTCGATACCCTCTGTTCTTGGTCTTGGTCTCGATACCCTCTGTTCTTGGTCTTGGTCTCGATACCCTCTGTTCTTGGTCTTGGTCTCGATACCCTCTGTTCTTGGTAGTGTCTTGGTCTCGATACCCTCTGTTCTTCGTCTTTGTCTCGAGACCCTCTGTTCTTGGTAGTGTCTTGGTGTCGGTTTAGGCGGTTTTGACTACAAATCTACTGTGAGGGGTGAATTTTTATTTTTTTTAAATAACAATTTCCTGTTATCTGGGAGTGATGCGCTGGCAAAATAGCGATAGACGGCCAGCTTTTCAGCTTTAAAAATGCTCTTCAGAAACCCACGGTGACGTCCCGGAGAGCGCGTCCATATTTTTTACTGTCAAAGGTTGCTAATGATATCAGTTATTATCGGGGAAAAACAGACCTCGGATTTTCATGACTGACCAGTCAGAATGAAGCATTTCAGAGAGATGTGTAATAAAGCATTTTAACTCACCATCTGACTGAGTGAATCGCTCCATTTGAACATAATTGCTGATTTTGTAGATCTGCTGTAGTTTTTCTCTGATCTCAGTGTATTCCTTCCACGTGGGTGTAGATGCAAACTCCTTCATCCAGTCCTGTCTGGGAATCAGATCCTTTATGATACTGTCATAATAATCGATCTCTTCTCCATCCAGCGTCGTTACAGCAGTAAACTCTGGGATTTCTGTAAACCTCTGACTGCTTATTCTGGTGTAAGTGGTCAAAAATCTGTGTAACTCTGAAAAAATAGTAAACACACATCATTACACACACACACACAAAACACAAAGCTCCAAAAATGGTTAATATATAATCTACGGAAGAGAATTCAATGCTGAATAAAGTCGTAGTTTTTGTTATTTTTGGACCAAAATGTATTTTCGATGCTTCAAAACATTGTAACTAACCCACTGATGTCACATGGACTACTTTGATGATGTACACACATTTTACTTTGATACCGTACACACATTTCCAATGGAGGGATAGAAAGCTCTCGGATATAAATGTAAAATATCTTAAACTGTGTTCCGAAGATGAACGGAGGTCTGACGGGTTTGGAACGACATGAGGGAGAGTCATTAATGACAATACTGAAGCCTGATTGAATCAGACAATGGGCTCTATGCATGGCGGTATTTCCGGTGAAGGTTTAAGGATGCTCGATAACTTCCGCCAATCGTAGAGTCAAATGCAATACCGAGAATTTATATTGAATTTTATACTCCATGGTTATACTAAAGAAACGTTAGTCACAAAAACAGATAAAACAGACACCCCTCATTGTGTTTATGCTTCTTTTTAAAATTATATTAAATAAACATAACTATATATAAAATTACATCTAAACGTATGAAAGTTTCGTTTCAAAGACGGGAGGACAGTAAATTTTGAAGACTGCCATAATCCCGTTTTCCTCCGCTTTAATCTCCACAACCGGAAACTGAAGAACATCCTTGCGTCAAATGCGGAACTTATGCGTGCATATAGCCCACTGGCATTTCAGCCCTCTAAAACGGGCAGGGAAGACTATCTATACAAGTTGATGCTGAATGCTATTTCATCTGAATCGTTTGACCTCTCCTCGGTGATCGAACCACAGCCATTACATACCAGGCCCTGTGAGAGAGACTGGGGAGTTGAGGAGAGCTGTTTTGACCACATCCTAGATCTTTATAAAATTTCCATCGCATGGCCAATTTCCTGGGTCGTTTTCTTAGTAGCGCTGCACATCTCCTTGAAAGCAGCAGGGTCTGGGCCAGACTCATCCATAGTACAGATCGCATCTGGAAAGCAGATCAAGCTTGACCAGCCATAGAGTAGGCTCTGACTGCTAAGGCGGATGTGGCCCTGCTAGGTTTAGAGTGGTGAACAAGGCAGATATACGCGGCAATGCCGTCCTCCAGGAGTTCTCGTAGTATTTTTTTCTCTGTGGCGTCAACAGAGATGAGGGCGGGCGAAGCAAAAGAGTGGACACAAGCCAAGTGGAAGTAAGCGTCATGACTCGTGAAGCGTCAGTTCATCATGAACTTCGGCAAAGAATGAAGTAGTTCTACAGGAACTGTTTGTCAAGGTAGCTGCGGGCAGGCTCTCACTCCAAGCCGGGCTCTTCATAAGCCTTGGTCAGGAAAAGTTTGACGTCCAGACCAGGCCTGACATCAACTGGCTCCTTAGGTGGCGGGGGGGCAGAGTCCTCCTTGAATCCAAGGAATCCCCTCGCGTACACTGGGGAGGCGAGCAGGACGAGGCTGAGGGCTGTGAGAGAACGCCGCGAGGCCGGTTGTATGATTGCTGATGAGTGACACCTGCGGTCTAAAATGGTCTTAATAAGCCTACTTAGTCCTGTCTGCTCGGCCCTGTGACTCTTCTGTTAACTTCTCTCAAGCTCCTGAGAGGAAGAGAACGGCAGAGCATGAGGGACGGAGTAGCTTTCTTAAAAGTAAGCAGACTGAAAGTAGTTAGGTGAGCACTCACAACAAGAGCAATTCGCCTCTTCATCTTCTTCGGAGTCAAGCAAGCAGATGATCTACACGCTTGGAGAATGATTCAGACGAAATGGCATTCAGCGTTGATTTGTATAGTTAGTCGTCCCTGTCCGTTTTGGCGGGCTTAAATATAAGGGTGCTCCAACTGATCGGTCGCCGATCATAATAATTGCTTTGGGATGTGTGATCGGTCTCTATAAAGGCCGATCCAGAAAAGCAAGCAGGGACATGTTTGCGTTTTATTTTTTGTGATTTCACCGGAATGAATAGGGTATTTGTCAAGTCCTAAGCTGTTCCCAATAACCAAGCTGCTCGGTTAATACGCTGGACATGTTGCTCGCAAATAAACACACAGGTGTCAATTCATGATGCGTTGTCTTTTCTTAAATGTAATACTTAATGTACATTGTTGTTAAACGTAGTTTAATAATAATGCTACATGATAAATAGAAGTTTTCAAATAGACCCTGTGATCGGTATCGGGTAATACAGCTTCCAGTAATCGGCCCCAAAAATCCTGATCAGAGCACCCATTTGTCTGATTCAATCACTCTTCAGTATTTCGGAGAAACAGGAGTTTTCCCCAAAATGTCACACAATGGGAGTGAACCATAACAAAAGGATAGCAGTTTTTTTTTTCTCTCATATAGACACCTTAAAATCAAAATTGACAATTTTATGGAATATTGCAGTAATTATTATGAATGAATTATTTATCTTGCCCTACATTTGTTTTTGTAACAGAAGCCTTTTTTACTTTTTAATTTTATGTCATAATAACAAAAGACCAGCGCAACCTTTATTTTAAATCAATACTTTTGCATGGATAACTTTATCTATCACAGAACCGTGACATTTAGACCTGCATTGGAAGCAAATTGTTTAATTTACATTACAATGTGCATAACTTCAGTCATTCATATAGGGCTATTCTCATTCTTGTTATGGTTTTGCTGTTACCTGCCTGCATGAGACAAATACACAGAATTGGAAAATACTGAAACAATTTCAGTGTAGCTTCAATAAAACAAAATCCTTCTTTTCAATTCAACTTCAATTATCATGGATTATGTTACAAACATATGTAGATGTAAAAATATTACACATCAGATTTGAAAACTTTCTGTCACGGAAAACACACTTTTTAACACACGGAAGTAGGCCTTGTTGAAAGAGAATTCGTTGTTAAAATTACATCACAAAATGAATCTTACCTGAGTAAACCAAAGGCATGTAGATGAAGATAATTAATAACTTCATTGTATATGAAAATCCATTTATTTGACACACAATTCTAAGTGTAGTCGTCGAAGATCGCTGTAAAACTCTTTAGCCTTTGCTACATGATTCAACAGGTAAAACTGGTTTCTGAACTGACGTCACTGCAGCTCCAGAGAAACGGTCTCAATTACGGAAGTGAAGGGAGGAGATTTTTACTCACAGGTTGTCGTAACTTGCTCAGTACAATTTCTCTTCGGTGACTACACTTAAATTGTGTCTCAAATACATGGATTTTCGTCAACAATGATGTTAATAATTTTCTTCATCTACATACCTTTGGTTTACTCAGGTGAGATTCATTTCGTACATTAGTTTAAACGATGAGTTCTCTGTCGGTAAGGGCTTCAGCCACTTCCGTGTGTTGAACTGACACGCAATCATGAGATGTTTGTAATAGAATTGATTAAAATATCAAAGAAAAAAGAAAGTAAGGAAAAAATTTCAGCGGGATTGGCGTCTCAAATTATTGTAATATTCATTTGGATAATTTTATTTTACAGTTATTTGATTTGACATTATGAGATTCTTAACCATGTTTGTGAGCGTTATGTCTTGTGTTGTTTTGTGGTTTGTTCAGAGTTACACAGCTTGATCAGCACATACACTGGAATAAGCGGACAGACGGCTGCAGGAACTCCAGAGTTTTCTGCTGTAACGACACTGGATGGAGAACAGATCGATTATTATGACAGTAACATAGAGGAGCTGATTCTCAGACAGGACTGGATGGAGAAGTTTACATATAAAGACATGTGGAAAGAAGACACTGAGATCAGAAAACATGTACAGCAGATCTACAGAAACAACATTCCTGTTCTAATGCAGCGATTCAATCACACACACGGTGAGAGAAAATGCTACTACATTTATACTACATTTTTAAATGTGAAAGGATTACCTTGTGCATAGGGCTGGGCTATGTGTCCGCGCACAGAAAGCCGCATCTATCACCATCTGATCTCAAATTCAGTTCTTTCATTGCGCTTGAATGGTCAAACACACATACAATTATGTCAAAATGCCCATCGTGTGGAGTATCCATGTTTACTTTACTTTCACTTGAGACATAACCAGTTGTTTATGTCTCAAGTGAAAGTAAACAGTTGGTTGTAAACTGGATGTGTAACAGTATAATGCCTGAATTATTTTTTTTAGATTTAATATGAATGCATTTATATTTAAATCATACAGTGAAGACTATGCAATATATATATATATATATATATATATATATATATATATACACACACATTTGATTATTACATTTCTGTAGCAATTATAACTACAAACTAAAAACTTAATTTTGTTTTTCAGATTTTTGTTATATTATATTTGGCCTAGTTTGTGTAATTTGCTTCTTTTTTCCTCTTATTTTGTTAACAGAAATGAGATCAAATAACACAAAATAAGTATATTGTGATCTTTATCGTTATTGTAAAATACCATTTCGGTAACACTTTATTTGAAGGGGTGTGCATAAGACTGACATGACACTGTCATAAACATGACATAACACCTGTCATGAACATGAAGGAGTCTTTATGAATGTTTATGACTTTTGTCGTGTAAATTATGTCATTCGATAAATTATGACACTTCTAATGCAAAGTTGACATTGTTTAAAATGTCTTGATTATGACAACTTTACATTAACAAAGACGAAAAATGTCTTGATTATGACAACTTGACATTAATACAGACAGAAATGTCTTTGTTATGACAACTTGACATTAACCAAGAAATCATAACCTGTCACAAATATGTCATAACAGGTCTAATTATCAAACTTAAAGAAGTTATTTAGCTTTGCGTTAACATCACATTACCCTGTCATAAGTGGTGGGTTTTGACTTTGGCCGTCATGACACCATTATAACTGTGTCATGAATATTTTACTTGTCCTCAAGTAAAGTGGAACACACTGTACTAGTTATAAAGATGTCATTAAGGGTTATTACACTGTCAAATGCTGTCAAACAACAGTGTCATTAATATTTCCCCTTACCTCAAGTAAAGTGGAACACGTTGGACTAGTTATGAAGATGTCAGGTTGACAGGTTATGATTTCTTGGTTAATGTCAAGTTGTCATAACAAAGACATTTTAAACAATGTCAACTTTGCATTAAACGTGTCATAATTTACCGAATGACAGTTAATGACAAAAGTCTTAAACATTCATAAAGACTCCTTCATGTTCATGACAGGTGTTATGTCATGTTTATGACAGTGTCACGTCAGTCTTATGCACACCCCTTTAAATAAAGTGTTACCCAAATTTCTCATATAAGAATTTGGAATTTGGTCATATCGCCTAACCATACTTGTTGTGCATTAAACAAAAAGAGGTGAAGTTACTTTCTGCACCCCCTTTTTCTTCTTCAGGTGTTCATAAGTATCAGAGGATATATGGATGTGAATATGATGATGAGACTCGATTCTTACAAGGGTTTGATCGGTACACTTATGATGGAGAGGATTTCATCATACTGAGTGTGAGGGAGCGCAGATACATCGCACATGTACCACAGGCAATACCCACAGTGGACAAGTGGAATAAAGACGAAGAACGGTTTATATTGCTGAAACGATACTACGATCATGAGTGTGTTTACTGGCTGGAATATTTCTTGGCGTTGAGGGAACCGGGTTACAAGAGAAAAGGTACCTTGTTATTGAGAACTTCACTTTGTTAAAAAAGTAGACTTTTTAATTTATTATAATGATTCATTGGTGTTCTTATTAGGACCAGCAATCCAGTGTTTATGTTTATTTATATATACTCTATTATAGTTTTGTATTAATATTTTGAATTAGATTTGTTCTACTTCATTTAATTTTCGCTTAAATTCTTTAGTTCCTTAGCTGTTATTTAGTTTTATTTTAGTTTGTTTTATATTTTATTTTTTTATTTACAGTTAGTAATTACAGTACTTTGACTTATTTGAGGTATTCTCCATGGAAAGGAGTTCATTGTTTGATTTTCGTTTCATCTAATATGTATATATAATTCGATTTTAGCTGTATTTCAATTAATAATTTTGTTTGTTTGTTAATAATAATAAACTAACTAAACTAATTTTTTTTATTATTGATCATTATCCATTTCATCAGTTAGTTGTTTCAGCCTTTTATTGCCATTTCAATATATTATAGTATTTTCAAGTGTTGTTTGTTTATTTTTTTTAGAATCTCCAAGTTCAAACTCATTAGCACTGATGATATGTGTGATGGGAGCATTGACAGTTCTGGTTATTGCTATATTCTTTATTGGCAAAGTAAGTATATGTTTATATGTCTATTTTCTGCTCTTATTTCTCATTCTAGTGGTTTCATCAGCTTTAGGATGATGGGAATGTCCTTAGCAATCACACAAGCATTCAAAAGTTTACATTCACACTGACATTTTAATGTGTTTGATAGAAACCCCAGTAAGGTGGAATTAAACAGGGCAACTGCTTCACTAATACTGAAAATCACTATTACTTATCATAATGTTATTAAACTACACAGCCTCATCTTAAATAGCCATCAATTCAGTTACATGTGATAAACTTTAGAATGCTATTGTAATCTGACTCCAAAATGTCAGGAAATTAGATATAGGGCCCTATCTTGCACCCGACGCAAATGACTTTATACACAAACGCATGTCTCATTCCTATTTTGCACGAGCGCAAAGCGGCATTTTTCCCTCCACAGACGCACGTCGGTAAACTAGGAAATGAACTTGCGCTCCCTGGGCGGATCGGCGCAAAAAGGAGGCGTGTTTCGGCGCAAACATTCCCTGGTGCTATTTTACACTTCCAGATAACAATTGCGCCACTGACCAGAAAAAACCTGGTATAAAATCAGTGGCGCGTTGTTCATATTGCTATTTTAAGCGCGCATGCTTGCCCATAATGTAGCGGGACAACGCGCATACACTGATTCTCTCATCAACACAGATGCAGCAGTTTTTATTTTTGCAAATCATACATTATAACAAGGAAAAATATGAACACATGTGGGAAATCATTGTGGTTTACATGAAGATGAAAAAACCCGAATTACCCATTTTTTAAGGCTAATTGTAGCTAGTACTAAAGGATCAGACCTGTTTGCCCAATAGTGGCAAGAAACATACGTATATAATGTTTAACCGACGCTGAAGTGCGAGAGTTTCTCCGTCCCCATACAACGTCACCTCTCTGTCTTTCACTGTCCTGACAAGAACGTCGGTCTCATCGGCTGTGAACGTGCCGGTAAACCCGCCATTATAATAACAATCCGTCATGCAACATGCGCACCTGTTCTTAAAGGGTATGTTGGATGGCACTCTGATTGGTTTATTTCACGTTACGCCCAAACCACACCTGAATAATGAAGCTACTTCAGACCAACCCCTTTTAGATTTGCGGCACGCAATCTTATATTATCATTATAATATTATCCCGCCGGGAAAATAGCAACAGCGCCGGGACCCGCCCACAAAGTTACTTGCGCCATGCGCTTTGACACTTGCGTTTCAGATCATTAAAATAGGGCCCATACTGTTTTTATGCTTTTACTTGGACCAGAATCAAGGTTTTTGCTGAACACACCCAGTAAGTTTGCACATTAATAATAACAGAAACATAACAACGTCACTTGTCAAAAAAAAAAAAAAAAAAAAAAAACCCTGCATCTGTTTGCTTTTTAAAGGATTGTTTTTGCTATAATGTATTGATTTAAATTATCAATCATTAATTCATTATTAATCATTAATTAAATCCACTAATTCTGTGAACACTCCGGCACAACTCTGGCCTCGTTTAGATAAAAAAAAGAGTCATGTCAATTGTTTTTTTTTTGTTTGTTTTTTTTCATTTTAATTCAAAACGTTTTCACTAAAATAGAATGCATTTTTACTATTTGGTTCATGTTTTCACTGTCAACAATTTCTAAAGTTGAATTTAAGTTTTAAAAGCTATATTTACAAAAACAGTCAAAGCCAAATGTTTATCTTTAAACACATTTTAGAGAAAAATAGTTAGCAGAATTTGCTGTTTTAACAATTGCAGTTTGTAATCGCAAAACTATGGGATTTGGAATTGACCTCATGGTGTTTCAGTGGTCATACAAATTGTTTAACTAAAATGACCTTATTTAATTAACATTTATAACATTACTTTGCAGAAACGAAGCAGGTTTAAGCGGGTATGTAGTCGAGAAGAGTTCTCGACTACATACCCTTCCTACTTCGACAAAAGTCTATGAAGAGTGTCCTCCAGCACTTTCTGCAGATTTCAGTCCGGTTTTGAATCTTCAGGATGAGGGAGAACCGATATTTCCATCATGCTTGTGGGACACGTTTCAGTGTTGATTAATATTCATGAGCATGGAGATCGTGGAATTGTTTTCCCAAAGAAAAAGAACATCAAGACACTGTCTGGAAACAAACTTTTTAATATGTGTAATTGGCGCATGTTGCACTGCAGTGATTTTGTCTTTCACCACTCGCATTTGTATATATTTTAAATGATATGGTCACTTGTTTGTTAATGTGCAGTTTATTTATTTTGAAGTTGTAATTCACTGATTACTAATAGTTTGACAGCTTTTGTGAGTTTCAAATGGAACAAAATAAACACCGAATAATTTCTAAAAATGTGCAGTTATTTTTTTAACTAAAACTTGTACATAAGAAAGTCTTTATTTTTCATAAAGATGAAAATAGTAATAGTTTGTAAAGTATGTGTAAAAACTAGAGAAATACTAGTATTTTGAACTAGTATATCGTGATATCTTAGCCTCTAATTATTTTTTTTAAATACTAGTTAATATCTTGTATTTGAACGCAAATTGCAAAAATATTTTATTTAGGAATATTTATTTATTTTATCTCAATGCCTTGCGGTACAGGGAAGACATCCTCCTCCCTCATGTGGTACCCTTTATACATGGTCATCCGGACATGATCCTCCAGCAGGACAATGCCACCAGCCATACTGCTCGTTCTGTCCATGAGTTTCTGCATGACAGCGATGTCAGTGTTCTGCCATGGCCAGCGAAGAGCCCGGTTCTCAATCCCATTGACCATGTGGGGCTAGGGCCATTCCCCCCAGAAATGTCCAGGAAATGGAAGCTTTAGCGTTAAGTTCTGCCAGGAAGACTCAATTGTTGGTCACTAATTACCTTCTCATCTATCCAATCGTGCCTAATACTTAAAAATAAATAAAAGACCGGTACTTACATGTGTTTGAGTTCACAGATGCTGATGCTACCATTGACCTCCATCCCCCCCACCAACTCCAAGATGGTTCCTTCCCTTCCAACCTCCCCACCACCAGTGATAACTGGAGATTACAGTAACAGATTGTTTTGGGTTTACAGCAGCGCTAGAATACAGTTATTGTACGGCGAAAGTTAGTTTTGATTGATTCACTTCCGTCGCAAAGATCATTAGTGATTAACTTTGGGGCCGCTGACACGACACTTTATCAGAACACACGTAACGCGCTCCGATCGCTCATTCGCACAACAACTAAACAGTGTTTTTTACGCTCGAGGTGCCAAGGTGCAAACCCTGAATAAATAAAAAAACATTATCATCTCTGTGTAAACTTGATTAAACTTCAAAACTGGCAATCTGTGAAAACGCTGACGGCGTGCACATGCGTATTATACGTTTAGTCTACATATGTGTGCAGGCCTGTAGTCTTGACACTTGAACTGTGCGCTTTAGACCATGATCACAAAGGACTGATGGAAGAGAGAGAGAGAGGAGCTGAAACAACGTCAAGAATGGGGAAAATAATGTGTTTTGAACATTCAAGCATGGAAACCTTTTCCAGTAGAGCCCAGAAACAAAATCAAGACTTTGTAAAAGGTTATGATACGGCCTCTTTGTTAATATTCTCCTTATTTCATCGAAAGTCTCGCACATTCACATATGGTTATTTTCCACATTGCAAAATAAGGTGGATAAAGTGATCATGTTGAGATCCATTTAATGCTACCTTTTTAATCTTTAAAAAGCTTCCTCTAAACGTCCGTATTGAATTTATCTAGAGCATCAGTGACCACAGTTCTGCATCTTCCGTTATTAAGCTCTTCCTGTTGATTCGTGGTGAAGACTAAAGTGCATGTAGTGAAGACTAAAGTGTGTTTACAGCGCTTTTTTGGCGACTTCCTTTGAAGAAGTGTGTATCAAATACAAGGATTTCATCCATTATGAAGTTGATCGTCCTCTTCATCATCTGCGTACCTTTGGTTTATTCAAGTGAGTTTCATTTCGTAAAGTCGTAGACGATGAACTCGTCGAGGCCTTCAGTTACTTCCGTGTGTTGAACTCAGTGCTACTCTAGTTTTATTATTAATTTCAAGTAGCTTCTTTTTGATAGAAGTTCAGGTTTACGGTCAAGCAAATGTTCTGAACTAAACATTTTATTTTATATATGTTTTGTTGTTCGACTTCAAAACGGCGTGCTTTCTAATGATACCTTAAGTACTGAAATATCTGCAAAAGTATTGATTTGAAATTAAAAATATGAATGACAAGTGAATGACTCGAACTGTAATTTGATTTCTGACACTGTGTGTGGTGTTTAACTGTGATCGAGAGCTTCATGTCTTTGTGTTGTGTGTTCAGAGTTACACAGCTTGATCACCACATACACTGATAGCCATAGTCCTGCTAATTGGTGCTGTATTCTGTATTCAGTCCAAAGTAAGTATATGTTTACAAGTCTTTTTTCTGCTCTTGTATTTCTCATGAAAGTGGTTTCAGCTTAAGGATGATTGAAATATCCTCAGCAATCACACAAGCATTCAAATGTTTGGATTTACACAGGCATTTTAATGTGTTTGATCTGGAATTTGGAACTGGTCACATGCTGTTTCAGTGGTCATAAAAATCGTATAATTAAAAATATCCTAATTTAATGAATCTTTATGACATTACTTTGCAGAAACATAAGCATGAGCAGGTATCCCGTGAAAGCGAAGAGCATATTTTCATTGATAAAGGTCTTTGAAGAGTTTCCTCCAGTCATCAACATCCAGACTTTCTAGATGTGGACCTTGTGTTGATATCAGGTGTAATGGGCACCTTAGATGTTTCACTGCTGTGTGTGATTTTCACCACTTGCGTTTGTATATATTTTAAATGAAAATGTCACTTATTTTTGTAAATATACAATTTATTTTCAAGTTGTAAGTTCACTGATAGTTTTACAACTATATCTTTTGAGTTTCAAATGAAAAAAAAAATAAACAATGAAAGATTTAAGAACATTTTCAGTTCTCTTTTTTCAACAAAGTTGGTGTGCGTTTATAAAAGTAGGTTTATGTGTTCACTATGTGAGTTATTTGTTATTATTAAGTTATTTTTTGACAGGTGCTGTTGTCCATGCAATAAATATGATACGTCTTCAGTTCCCAGAATGCACCATGGCATGTATTATGCAGATTACTGTTTATGCATTTATACTGCCATTTGTACTTGGTTTATACTTATTAATACCAGCCCTGAGTCTAGTTAATTAATAAAAAAATATGGTGTTATAGGTTTTTTGTTGATAATGTCAGATAAATTGTTGCATTTGCCTTTTATCCTGAAGACTTTTAAACATCAAACTGGGACTGAAAAGAGGGTAAGTATGATGACAGTTTTCGTTTCTGGTTGCACTGTACCTTTAAATAGTCTCTGAGCATTAGTGATCATGAAGTGGAGCTCAAGTATCAAAGTCCCAAACTTAATTGAAAAATTAACACTTGAGCATACAACAGCGTGGTTAGAGCGACCTAAAATTACAGAAACCATCTTTGGAAATTTTTTTAAGTTTAATTGGATTTTTTTAGTTCAGCTCACGTCCCATTGGATTACATGGAGAGGGTGGGGCTTATGACCAATACTGCAGCCAGCCACCAGGGGGCGATCAAAATGGCTTCTGCTATAAAAGTTGTTTTTTTGTTTTAAAATTGCTTTCAAATTGATTAATGTCGATTAATCAACAACATAATTTGTGTGGGCCGAATGTGTGTGGGGGCTTGACCTTTCAAGGGACCTACAAGGGACTTTGACCTTTCTCTTTGAGTTCATTCACAGCCAAAGTAGCACATCCGGAAAGAAAGGTATAGACCTTTTTCAGAGCAGCGCCATGACAGGTATGAAAGTGAGGTTGTGAGGGATAGACTTGCCGTGTTTCCAATGGCATCCGCTGTAAAAAGCTGATAAAAGCTTATATTGTCGGAAGTCTTTTGTCAACTAAAATTTCTTTGAAAGATATTTTTCCAGTGTTTCATGAGCAGAAAAATCCCAAAACACATTAAATAACAGTACAGCCCATTGAAGAGATGCAAGTCTATCACAGCCTCGCTTTCATTCTCATTAAAAATCAAAGATGGCGCTGCCGTGAATAAGGCGTATTGGGGAAGGCCGCGGATGAGAGTCGGCGGCTGCACCCAAAAACCAATCATCCAGCCGCGAGCGCTCGGGACACTCTAACCCGATGCTTGCGGCGGCCCGGGAGAGCATGGCAGTCATCTCGGGATCAGGCTCGGCAAACAACTGCACACCCGAAGGAGGCAGCACTGTCGAGTCCTCACTCTATGAATCCTGCCCACCCTGTGATGCAGTGACAGACATTGCATCATCCTCTGTAGCGCCAAAGGAAACTCGCAGGACATCTGAAGGTGGACCCGCGGGAATCCCCTGGACGCTAAATGGCACAGTCATGGGAGGGGTTGGTGCGGGGCAAGGACAAATAGTCCACACCGTCACCCTCAGGTCACCCTGGCCACCAGCCGAAGTACTAGCTGTAGTCCTAGAGGAAGTAGATCGGGGTGTGGATGAGGGGACTCTCACTCTTGCGAGATCCTCTTTTATGAGAGGAAGCTTGGTCTTGACAAAACCACTGCACAGATGAGAGATCGCCGTCGCACCAACACCGGAGAATCTTGCTCGTCTTCTAAAAGCTGACAATTCAGAAATGGCTTAAACTTGGCTCTGAAGCGAAAACATATCTGCATATTGCTGGCTTCCTCTAGCCTGGCGAGCCAGACCTATCAAGATGTTAGGTCTGGGAACTCACAATAGGCATACCTCAATCCGGGGGGCGGGATAAACGATTGTCTTTCAACATCCCTCTGCTCGCCATAGGATAGCGCTAACCAGCCGGAGCAATGAATGGCTGTGGCTGAGTGAGTCCCATGCGTCTTCCCTCCAGCGGAGCAAGTTGATATATTAAACTTTTGCCGTATCCGGTCGTCAAAACTCTGAACACATCTTCCTTTTATAAGAATGACTTAAAGGAGTAGTTCACTTTTGAAAAAACGTTTGCTGATAATTTACTCACCCCCATGTCATCCAAGATGTCCATGTCTTTCTTTCTTCAGTCGAAAAAAAAAATTAAGGTTTTTGATGAAAACATTCCAGGATTTTTCTCCTTATAATGGACTTCAATGGGAACCAGGTCCAACCGAGGTCCAAAAGACGGTTAATAACAGCTTCAAATGTCTTTAAACGACACCAGACGATGAATAAGGGTCTTATCATGCGAAACGATCGGTTATTTCAAAACTTATTCCAAAAATGTAACTTTTCTAAGGACAAATGCTAGCCTTGCTCTATTCTGTGAGGCGCGTTTGCAACGTCATGTAATACGTAATTACGTTCAAAAGGTCACGGGCGACGTAGCCGAAAGTACAGAGTCAGTGTTTACAAGTTGAACGCATAGGTTGAACGTGCAAACTAACTCAAACGCCGTTTACAAAAAAGGAATTAAAAGGTAAAACAACGATGTCGGACGATTTTGATTCTGTTCTTCCGGCTACGTCGCCCGTGACCTTTTGAACGTAATTACGTATTACGTGACGTTGCAAACGCGCCTCACAGAATAGAGCAAGGCTAGCATTTGTCCTTAGAAAAGTTACATTTTTGGAATAAGTTTTGAAATGAGCGATCGTTTCGCATGATAAGACCCTTATTCATCGTCTGGTGTCGTTTAAAGACATTTGAAGCTGTTATTAACCGTCTTTTGGACCTCGGTTGGACCTGGTTCCCATTGAAGTCCATTATAAGGAGAAAAATCCTGGAATGTTTTCATCAAAAACCTAAATTTCTTTTCGACTGAGGAAAGAAAGACATGGACATCTTGGATGACATGGGGGCGAGTAAATCATCAGCAAAAGTTTTTTCAAAAGTGAACTAATCCTTTAAGTCACGTTCTCTTAACTCCAAGTCATCCAGAGTCGCGGCCAAAGTCGAATCGAAAAACCGCTGTTCGCCAGCAGAATCTTGTTTGTTTTTAAGTAGCAGGGAAATCACCTATGGAAATCACGCCACAGAACCGTCACAACTCTGCCGTCATTGTGTTAAGCCCGCCCACCAACTCTATACACGATGTGATTGGCCGGACCAGAGTTTGGTTTTTCCACTTCGAAAGCCAACGGAGAGTTGCTAGACCACACTTTGCTGCAAAATAATTTTTGCTGCCGCTAGGGTGCGTCTAGATTTCTAGGCTAGGCTTCCTACTTTTATACCCACGAGGTGGAGCTGAGTTGCGCCATGCAATTTCCGCAGATCCATGGCATTTCTTTGCCATTTGCTCGTTTTATAATACTCAAATTTGATGGGCTTTCTAACCGAAACTCCATTCGTCGTCATCCGACGTAAAGTCTCCGTTCTCTACTCAGGGAGACGTTCTCGGGCAACCACCCTGGTGGCAAGTTCCTATAACTACCTGGTGCGAAAGTCCCTTGTGAGAAAGTGTCTTCTTTACACAGATGACCTGGTTCTTTCGCTTTCTAAGCGAAACCCTATTCGTCATCATCCGACTTAACTCGGAGGGACAACGAAAGGGAACTAATGGTTCCCGCACCGCAGGTAGGATTAAATGGAAGTATTATACATAGAAAGTAGACAGTAATAAAAAGTTATTAGCGTATAGCGTGTGGTTGATGTCCAGAAATACATAATCATGTTTCTCTTGGTCTCCTCAAAGTTGCGTTAGATTTTCTCCTCAGCATAAAGATTAAGAGCGTCCTCTATCATATAGAGTTCATAGAGTTGAATATATACGTAGGCTGTAATCTGTGTGCTTAAAAAGCCTTTTTAAAAATAAGAAAGTCTAAATATCATTTCAAAATTTTAGGCCAAAGACTTAGAAGTTTTGACAATGCTTGTTTTCATCACAAAGCTTTTAAAATAAATATTGTTAGTCATTTTGAGAAAAGAGAACGACACAAAAAAGGTGCAAAACCATAACAGATTAAACGATTGAGTCACCGTTCATTCTCTTTAAAGTAATGCTGGCCTGAATGAGTTAATCAAGCTGTCTATAGCCCCTTTTCCACCAAAGCATTTTGAGAGCCGGTTCGGAGCCGGTTCTGCGCGCGAACCAGTTCTTTGTGTTTCGACAGCCAAAGAACCGGTTCTCGGCTGGGAAAACTGCTTCCAAAGCGGCACCAACTCTTTGCTGGACTAGAACCGTTCTTTTACCACGTCATGCTTACGTCGGGGGCAGAAACACGATGGAATCCGCCTTTGTAATTGTAACGCAAGCGTTTCTATTTTTGTAATTTTTTTATGAAGACATTATTAGCAAAGAAGAAAACAGTCACAATATAAAAGATTACATATCAAACGAAAAGATTAAAAGACTTACATATTTCAATTGTTTTTAAAGCTTTCTTGGTATACGAGTTAGAGATAATCCCAAAGTAATGTTGTATTTGCAAGCGTTTCTAGCGTTCGTATGGCGACGTACACAGTGATGCAATGACGTCGTTCCCTGGGCGCTCTCGTCAGTGGAAAAACAAACAGGTTCTGAAGCGGTTCGCCAGTTAAACCAAATCCGAACCAATTTTGAACCAGCACCAGTTCCGAACCAGTTCTTTTTTTTGGTGGAAAAGGGGTATATTAAAACAAGGGTTTATCAGGGATGTGCACAGATAAAAAAAAGAAATTTTCAATTGTCTGTCTGAAAAAAAAAAAAAAAAAAAAAAAAACACATACTGAGCAAAGTGACCACAACTCGTGGGTAAAAGCTGAACTTCCGTATTGAGAAAGTTTATAGGGCATCAGCGTCTGTTCTCCACAATCTCACCACATTTTCCTGTTGAATCACATGTGGTGAAGACAAAAGAGTTTTTACCTTTGACAACTGCACATAAAGTGTGTGTCAAATACAAGAATTTGTATTTGCACATGGCGCAATGCAGTGCCGAGCTAGTGTGTTTTGCTAGTTTCAGCCTGACGCGATTTTCATTTTCAAGCCCTATGCCATGTTGTTTAAATAGCAAATGCACTTGTGCCCATCTGTGCACCCATGGACTGCTGGTCTGAGAATGAGTGTGTTCAGGCGCATTGTTGGCGCTTTGCTATTTTGAGGAAACTGAAATAGACAGAGCCATTGACCAACAAAAAACAAGTCAATGTTGAAGTATTCATTTATTTTTTGTTATTTAAAGAGCGTGTTAGTAATATACGCCAATGGGCTGGTCCAACACGCACATACTCTCTGCTTATTACACCACAGGGACGCACAGTAGCACACAAAAAACATGCCAAATATTAAAAATAAAAAGGATTACAATGTAAAAGACATGGTGAATCTGGCTTGTACCGTACATGGTCTGCTTGTGCTTTAACCTCGCGGATGAGAAAATCCTACGCTATCTCACGACCAATTCGTACGAGTGATTAAAAAGTGGCTAATTCGTACTAATTCATACGACCTCTCTCATACGATTTGTCCAAACCCACGTGATGGGTGGGTTTAGGGGCGGGGTCAGGGGTAGGTCATTCGTACGAATTCATACGAATTGGCCAATTCGTAAAATATGTACGATTTAGCAAAAATCGTACTAATTCGTACGAGTGAGTTCGTACAAATTGTTACGAATTAGCCACCTCGTATGAATTCTCGTGAGATCGGGTTGGAAAATCCGTTTGCGCTCTGCAAATTTTTCTGATGCAAATATTCCTGTGTAAATAGCGAATCCACCAAGGGGCGAGCACGAATGGGAGGGTCCGATTGGTTTATTGCACGTTACGCCCAACACACACACATTACTTGTTGAGAGATTAGAGACAAAACACACCCATTACTCATTACGAGAATAGAGACAAGCCTTTTAGACCATGCGCCAGGACCGTCCACCATTTCCCATCGTTAAACTAGCAAAACTGCTCTTGCGCTTTAGACCATGTGGTTAGATGGTAGACATGAGAGAGAGAGGAGCTGCAACAATGTCAAATATGGGGAAAATAATATGTTTTGAACATTCAAGCATGGAAACCTGTTCTAGTAGAGCCCAAAAACAAAATCAAGACTTTGTAAAAGGTTATAATATGGCCTCTTTGTAAATCTTCTTAATACTTCCGTTTAGCGGCTGTAATGAATCGAAATTTCTTGCACATTCACAGATGGATAAAGTGATCATGTTGATCATATCGAGATTAATTTCATGCTACCTTTATGTTTTTTTGGAGCATGAACATTTTGAATATATGTATATAAAAGCTTTCTCTAAACGCCCGTATTGAGTGAGCATCAATGACGTCAGTTTTGCGCAATCTGCATCTTCCTTTGGTAACCTCTTCTTCCTGTTGATTCACATGTGGTGAAGACTCAAGTTTTTACAGCGCTCTTCGACAACTGCATTTAAAGAAGTGTGTGTCAAATACAAGGATTTTCATCCAAAATGAAGTTCATCATCCTCTTCATCTGCATACCTTTGGTTTACTCAAGTAAGTTTCATTTTATAAATTTGTTCAAATGACGAATTCATTTTAGCTTTAGCCTTCAGCTACTTCTGTGTGTTGAATTCTGTGCTACTTTAAGTTTTATTATTATTTTCAAATGGCTTTTATTTTTATATTTTTAGTTGATATAATCATGTGAATTTGTTCATAATTTAATTTATGTGCTGTTTGTTTTAATTTTTTAATTATTGCTATTTAGGTTTAATTCATTTTTATTTCAGATTTATTTTTAGTTAGATTTATTCATGTTTTGAAATAGCTTTTATTTTTATATTCATAGTTTATATTTTAATGTAAATTTTAGTTGAGTTTTTTAGCAATTTTTTTAATGTGCTATATATATATATATATATATATATATATATATTGCTATTTTTGTTGAATTCTTTTTTTTTTCAGTATTTATTTTTTTGTTTTCAGTTAATATTTGCGGTGCTTCAATTTGAATGTATTTCCAATTATTGCTAAGGCAACATTTCTATTTTTTCATTGATATTTTTTGAACAGATATTTACCATATTTATTATTAATTTTATTTGATTTCATCTTAATTTCAGTTAAAATAAATGTTTTTAATAGTTTCGATTGTTGAACTGACAGAAAATCATGAGATGTTGATAATCTGACTCCCCAACTAACAATTTTAGGTTTTAAAAACGTTTTCATAACATTCCCATTAAGTTATAAAAACGTTATTTCTGAATGTTCTAGGAACGTTCAAAACGTCCAGTTTTTTAGACGTTGTATTAACGTGATTTCTTGGTTTTAAGAACGTTTTTGATAACTTTCAGAGAACCTTCAGAACGTTATGCAGGAAGTTGCTTTGCAGAATAAAAAAAAGCTGTATAACTAATTTGTAATGACTAATATATGTTTAACATAATAACGTTTTTAAAACGTTCCAATAACAACGTGAGGATAACGGTTTAATGCTAACGTCTTTAGAACGTTTATCAATGTAATATAACGTTGGCAAAACGTTATAATAACGTTACAGCAAGAACGTTTTTGAGAACTTTCAGAGAACCTTCAGAGAACGTTAGCCAATGTTCTGAGAACGTTCCCTGTTAGCTGGGTCGGTGCTTGCCGTTTCTGTAGGGAGTTGAAAAGCAGTTCCCTATCAGTCGGTCACCATGCCGTATGTCGTGAACGACAAATAGGAGGCTATCACGGGCGAGCTATCTATGACGGATGAGCTATCACAAGCTGTTCTCCCGGGAGAATGGCGACTCCACCCCTAGGCGTTCAGCTGATCTGGAGAGAGTTCTGGGAGGCTCAGGTAGAGCTGTTTGCCACCTCAGAGACCTCCCACTACCAGCTGTTTTACTCCCCGCCTAAGGGAACACTCGGCACGGGCAAACATGTGCTCCCCAGTGAGCCTACTTGTGCAGACACTGTGCAAAGTCAGGGAGGAGGTCCTTCAGGTGGCTTTCTATTGGCCCACTCGGACTTGGTTTCCAGAACTCATGCTCCTCGTCCTCGCCACAGTCCCTCCCTGGCCCATTCCTCTGAGGAAGGATCTTTTGACTCCTTCATCAACAGTGCACTGGTGTCCAGATCTCTGGAAACTCAATGTCTGGTCGCTGGACGGGACGCGGAGGTTCTAGGTGACTTGCCTCCTGAGGTACTTCAACACGGGCGCCTCCACGTGACGTGTCTACGCCTTAAAGTGGAACTTGTTCATCGAGTGGTGTTCTTCTCACCGAGGAGACCCCTGAAGATGTTTGATAGGGTCTGTGCTTTCCTTCTTGCAGCAAGAGTTGGAGCGAAGGCAGTGTCCCACCACCCTCAAAGTCCATGCCGCAGCTATTTCAGCATATCACGACCACATAGATGGCAAAATAGTTGGAAAGCACGACCTGGTCGTCAGGTTTCTTAGGGGGGCGAGGCGATAAAATACTCCTCGACCCCCCCCACCTTACCCATTTTCAGTCGACGAATCATGCCTAGAGTTTGTGCCGGTGACAACCACGTAGTACCAAAACCCCGGCCTGGCTATTTGCCCAAGGTTCCTACCACTCCCCTCAGGCACCAGGTAGTGAACCCTGGCTTTGCTCTGTCCTGTTACCGCTCTACGAATGTACATTCACAGAACTCAAAGCGTCAGGACCTCAGACCAGCTCTTTGTCTGTTACTGAGGCCAGAAGAGGGGAAAGGCTGTCTCCGAGCAGAGGATGGCCCACTGGATAGTGGATGCCATCGCCTTGGTTTACCAAGCACAAGGCGTGCTCTGCCCGCTCAAGTTGCGAGCACACTCCACGAGAGGTGTCGCATCCTCCTGGGTGCTGGCTCGTGGCTCCTTGCTAACAGATATCCGTAGAGCTGCTGGGCGACACCTAACACATTCGCAAGATATTATGGCTTACTTGTATAGCCGGTCTCCTCCCATGTTCTCACCCTAAATGGGTAGAAGCGCCAAGAGGTCAATCTCTGTTGGCTTGCAGCACCCTACTGAGCACTCTTAACGCTCCAGAGTAAAAACCTGTTGAGTCCTCCAAAACCCTTCTGCCTGGACATGGCGGAGCGTCTGGTGCCAAGCCTTTATCCACTGAATCCTTAAGAACCGGATCTTGGCTGGGTTCCATATATGTGACCCTACGGGGATGATGTGTATATTCTCCAAGTCTGCTCCTAACGGAAGCCAATGTCCTTCCCTTGAGCTAAGTCACCCACTATTTCACATGTAGCACCGCCTTTTGGGTAGTCCATATGTATTCCCCACATACAGGGGTTGGACAATGAAACTGAAACACCTGGTTTTACATCACAATAATTTGTAAGTATGGTGAGGGCCTCATTTTGCATCCAAATACAGCACCAATTCATCTTGGGAATGACAGATAGAAGTCCTTCACAGTGACCAGAGGGATTATGAGCCGTTCCTCTTCCAGAACAGTGTCCAGGTCACTGTATGATGCTGGTGGACTCGCTCCTCAAACACCTCAATAATATTTAGATCTGGTGACTGTGCGTGTTCAACGTCACTTTCATCTTCATCAAACCCTTCTGTCACAAGTCTTGCTGTGTGTGTTGGTGCATGATCATGAGCATCAGGTGCTCATGATCCTCCAGAAGAGTTTGGTAGTCCTCGGCAGTGTCGTGTCCATCAAATACAATCGGGATTGTCATGATATTGGAGCTCAAACCATCACTGATCCACCCGTGCTTCACTCTGAAGATTGGCCGCCAGGCATATAGATGTGAAACCTCCAACATTGGCCAGTGTTTCAGTTTCATTGTCCAACCCCTGTTACTCCTTGAAGAAAGTGGCTTCTGCAGCGTCCTCCTTCCGACATTCGCCATCGTGACTGACTAAAAGGGAACGTCTCGGTTACATATTGTAACCCTCGCTCCCTGAAGGAGGGAATGGAGACGTTGGTCTCATCCCCACATCTACTGCCGCAATGTGCATTGGCTTGTTTAGTTTCACTAGATTCACAAGATTGCTCTCTCTGGTGAGATTCCTCTTTGTCGGTCACGACATACGTCTATGGTCCCTCCTTCAGGGAATGAGGGTTACCATATGCAACCGAGATGTTTTTTTTTATTTTTATTTTTTCCTTCCTTGTAAAGTTTACTGCTAAAAAGTTTTAAAGTAGCATAACCATTGTAAAACGATCGATCTCAAATTAGTGTCACAGAATTAATTTTGAGTGTTTTCCTGTGAAAAAGTATTTATTTGAGATTAAAAAGAAAAGGTGAATTATTTAGTAATCTGACTCGGTAATTTGAGTTATGAAGTTGTATGTTGCGTTTGAGAGCTTCATGTCTTTGTGTTGTTTGTCCAGAGTTACACAGCTTGATCAGCACACACACTGAAATAAACGGACAGACGATTGCAGGAACTCCAGAGTTTTCTGCTGTAACGACACTGGATGATCAACAGATCGATTATTATGACAGTAATATAAAGAACCTGATTCTCAAACAGGACTGGATGAAGGAGTTTGCATCTACAGAAATGTGGAGGGAATACACTGATATCAGAGAAAAACAACAGCAGATCTACGAAATCAACATTCCCGTTCTAATGAAGACATTCAATCAGACACGCGGTGAGAGAAAAAACTTTATACTACATTTTTAACTGTGAAAGATTTTCTTGTCCATTAATAAAGAGCAGATGTTATGGTTTCCTCTTCTTCAGGTGTTCATGTGTATCAGAGGATGTCTGGCTGTGAATATGATGATGAGACTGAACACTCACAAGGGTTTGATCAGCATGGTTATGATGGAGAGGATTTCATCACACTGGACCTGAATGAGTACAGATACATCACACCTGTACTACAGGCAATACCCACAGTGGAGAAGTGGAATAATGACAGAGCACAGCTTGAATTTTTGAGATACTACTACGATCATAATTGTGTTTACTGGCTGAAGGAGCTCTTGAAGTTCTGGAAAGAGGCTAACAGGATAATCGGTACCCTTCGTTCACCAAATAGATCAATATATATACACACATGGCAGGGATGCACTGATTAATCTGCATCATCAAAACATTTTCATTGAACATAGAATTACATTTTTTATGAGATTGGAGGAAACAAATATATGTCAATGCTCTTGCGCTGTCTCAAAACTTTCGCATAGTTTTATATGGGCCTTTTCATGCTATAGCGGATTAGCCGATATTCTGATGGTTTTATATCGTTCAATATCGGCGGCTGATATATCGGTGCATCTCTAATAATGAGTCATTGTTTGCCTCTGTTTTATCTCATGGCTTCATTAAACCAAATATAGCTACTTTTATTCATAAATGTATTTGATCGGAAGTAGTAAACTTTGTTCTCACATTTCTCTCGATCTTTTTCAGCTCCTGAAGTGTTTCTGTTACAGAAGGATCCCTTTTCTCCAGTAGTGTGTCATGCTACAGGTTTCTACCCATCAGGAGTGACTCTTAGCTGGTTCAGAAATGGAGAGGAGTACCTTGAGGATGTGGATCTAGAAGAGCTTCTGCCAAATGAGGACGGGACCTTCCAGAAGACATCTAGCCTTCGTGTTTCTCCAGACGAATGGAAGAGCGACCATTTCACTTGTGAGGTGGAGCATGAGGGAAAAACCATTGAGAAGATTCTGACTGACCAAGAGATCAAGAGCAACTACGGTAAGCTGTTAATAGTGCGGTAGAGTGTCTTTATGGTTATGCATCTTTAATTCATAGATTTCACCTGATTTCCCACTTTTATATGTCTCTGCCCACTTTTCCTTCCAGGGGCGGAGTGGCAGTCGGGAGTTTCCCCAGTGGGCCGGTAGTGTTTCGAGGCCGCGAGGGCCGGTCTGATAAAATGTATTGTTTGCAAGATCGCCATGCGCACTTGAGGCCCAAGCGAGGGGAAGAAAAAAAAATATTTTTACATTTTCGATAACGGAGTGTATATTTGCACTAAGTGCCTGTCTTTTTAGCAAAAAGACGTCCGTCACGAAATAGCTACTGTGGCGTAGGTCGTAGGGCGTGAAGTGCTAGAAAGCAGCTTTTGATGCGCTTTTTAGAAATCCCTACTGTTTTTAGTGTCCACAAAACTTGCATTTTGTTCAGATATTTTCGTTTGTCTTCTTTTGAGATGGAAATTTGACAGGCCTGTGCTGCAGTTTTATGACTGTTTTGCCCACAAGCATATTTCTAGTCTTCTGAGATCATACGATAGTTTTGCTTGAGGGACAGACCAAAATAAAAGTTGTTCTTCATTGCCAGACTGATCTCATGAAGTAGCGTGTGTATGACACGCCAATTCGTATTTCCATTTTTTGGCGTGCTATCAAGACGCATAATCGCTTTTCAGCGTGTTTATGAACACCGTTGACTTAACGTTATATAAATATATGACTTACCTCAACCCCGTCCCTAAACCTAACCGTCACTGGGGTTAATGGCATTTATGACTGGAGATTTGACGTTGTGTTCAGACACGTGGAATGACGCAGACGTTAATGGCGTAGACATACATGCAAACATGCGGATAGCTCAAAATGCGTAGAGATAACACGCCATTTGACTCGAAAGTGGCGTGTATGTTTACGCAAAAGTCATGATGTCATGTTGTCATTGCAGTGCATTATGGGCCGACATTGGTGGATTAACTTAAAACCCATTTCAGTTACTGTAGGTGCCAAGGTGGCAACATTCATAACTTTCATTTATTTTGTTTTTAATCTAATATATGTAAGGGTTAATGCCTGACGAGGTGTCCATTATCAGGTATTAATGGACGACGGCGAGGCGTGAACCGTCCAACGCGCAGCGGAGTCCATTAATACCTAGACAATGGACACCTCAAAGGGCATTAACCCGCTTATACCACCATGACGTGCTAAATAACACATTTTTAAAACAGTATTTGAATTAGTTTTACAATCGAAATCTAAAGTTTTCACAAACAATAACTTGGTTGCCCTGGTTACGCCTGACGGTTTATTTAGCAACCGGAGCTATTTATAGTCCGCTCAGCTCGCTAACTTACGAGACAGAAACTTAACGAATTTTTCTTCATGTAAGTTCGACTTGTGTAGCCATGGGCGTTAACCTTTAATTAAAACACACAGGTAGGCGTAGTATAACGGCTAATTAGATGTTTGTTTTGATGCAATAAACTGTAAACGGATACTTTTGCTGCCAGTTGCTATGGTTACGGTAAACGATTTCACCAGAACTCCTTTACTAGTGTCCTCCATCACTTTTTAGTGGACACCCTGCAGCCAATCAGAATCGAGTATTCACCCAGACCATGGTTTAAATACATATTATTTGATTTAAACTATATTTTAATTGACAGTTTTTTGTTTTGTTTTTAAGGACCTACCCAAGAATACATGTCCTTCTGTGTGTGATGGGAGTATTCATATTTGTACTGTAGTTCATATGAAGTAAGTATATGTTCACATGTCTTTTTCTGATCTTTCTCTGAACTGCTTTTAGTTCTCATTCGACTGGCTTCATCAGTTGTAGGATGATGGGAATGTATGGAGCCCCTAAAGGGACATGGTGATGGGAAAACATATGGGAGGAAAAATTAGATGTCAAATGCAATGGGGATCGCAAAAGTTGTACATGAGAACCTAAAGTTTCTCTGGCCATAGGCAAAAGTTTTACAAGTGAACACAACGTTTCTCTGGGGAACACAAAACTTGTGAGCTAATGCAACGTTTCTCTGCAATAATTTTGTGAGAGAACGCAAAATTATTGAATTTTTTTCTCCATCACAATGTCCCTTTAGGGGCTCTGTAGGACTCCTGACCAATGACACGCATTCAAAAGTCTGGATTTACAGAGACATGTTAATGCATTTGTTATAAATCCCAGTAATGTGGAAATATGATGCAACTGACAATAGTTAAGGAAAGTTTTTTAAAAGTTACTGTATATTTTCAAAAAAAAAAAGGTCATAGCCAAAAGTTTTTCTTCAAGCAACATTTCAGATAAAGAGATTTGCAGAACTTGCTGTTTTTACCATTTCAGTGTATAATTCCATGAATTTGGAATTTAGAATTGGAATAAAAAAAAATCATGTAATTAAAAATGTCCTCATTTAATCTTTATGACATTACTTTGCAGAAACTATTTTGAGCAGACGATCAGTCAAAACGAAAAGCAGAGCTAAAGTGACTAAAATCTTTGAAGTTTCCTCCAATCATCTTCATGTGAGAGAACAGGAGATTCCCAGCATGCTTGTGGGACAGTGGGACCAAAACATGTTTTATTTTAGTAGAAAAGCTCCTGTAAATATACATTTTCAATCATTTTTTTCAAGTTGTAACTTTACTAATATATTTTTTTTTCAAGTTGTAACCACTGATTTCAAGTAGTTTAAAGGCTTTTATGATTTTAAATGTTTAAACATTAAAATAAAAATTTAAAGAACACTTGCCATTCTCTTTTTTTATTCAACAACAAACCGTAAGACAACAATATAAAGCTGAAAAATTTAAAAATAAGCATGTTTTAAATTATATATTAATAATAAATTAAGTTATCAGGTAAATTTGTAAATTCAAATGGTGTTTTGAAAAGAATGTGTATTTTTAGTGCCTAAAAATCTCACAATTTAGCCTTTTTTCTGTGATTAAAAAAAAAACTAAACATAAATTTGTATTGTAATCACTGGGCATCATACAGGCTCTTATCTTCATTTCTTTGCTGCTAAGTCACTGATTTTCTCATTATAAGTAGATTGGCATTTTATTAAGTATGTGTTCAGTATGTCAATTCTTTGTAATTAGAAAGCATGGCAAGACTTGAGTTCCCAGAATGCTCCATGGCATTAATGTATTATGCACATGTTTTACTGTTATATTACTGTTCCTGTATCTTTCCAATCATTTACAGTTGTATTAATTAAAAAATATGTTAGTATAGTTTTCTTGTTGATATTTTTAGATAAATTATGCTGCATTTGCCTTTTACCCAGAAGGCTTTTAATTATCATTTTATCAGTTATCATTTTTGGGTGCACTGTACCTTTAAATAATACACCACACCACCTTATGCATTTGCTTTTTAATGTATCTGTTGGTTGTCACTAATATTGTGGTGTGTTTATTAATTTCATAAAAGTTAATATATAAATTTACACACACACACTGTTATATCCCAAAGTGAGCATTTTTTAGTATTCACTTGAGAACAGAGCCGTTGTCCCTTAGGTCTCCCTCCATCGCACCACTGTCTCTCTAAATTAAAAAAAAGTAAAGTAAACAGTGTTTCAGATGATAAAACCCTAAATCGCGTAATTTTCTACCTCATGGGGCCGGGTGTGAGCGCCAATGAAAATGAAGAGAGACACTTTTTGGCTCCCGATCACACCGTGGCGCTTCAGGAGGAATATAAACAGGTTTTGCCGGCGTGTTTTGGCTCACCTTCTTTGCCCTCTTGTTTCTAACAGCGAGGGTCTTTCTCTCTGCTCGTCTTTCCTCCCAGCAGGTTTATTCCTCTCAGCGGGTTTATTCCTCTCTCTCGGAGGCCCGAGTGCTTGCAGCGGCCATTAGCTCGACGAGAGGTAGAGAAGATAAACGCGCGCGCGGGCGAGTAAACACACACACACACACACACACACACACGCTCGCTCCCCGCTGTTCGCCACGGGCCAATAGTTTCTGAAGAACCCTGAAGATTTCCCAGACCAAATCACATCTTCACTTTCTCTCATCCGGAGGTTCACATTGTCATCTCTGACCTACAGAACAAACACTTCCGTGACACACACGTGTTCTGCCTCAAACACTACAGTTTTAGGTGTTCAATTCCGTGTTATTTACTATTTACCGCACACGTTTTAGATACAAACTAGATTTATTATGTAGATTATAACGCTTCCTTTTACAGTACAGTATAGCCTACTGGATAATAATATAAGGTAAGTACATGGGTTAGTACATTACTATAATAAGTATAGTATGTATGGGTAACATGACTGTATGCTTCTGTTGCCATGGTGTTGCTATGCAATTGCTTCTGTTTTTTGGTATCGTTACGTGGTTGCTAGGATCCTTTCTATTGTGTGGTGTTGCTATGCAGTTGGTAGTGTTATAATGGTCGCGTTTACTAGGGTCGTTGCTAGGGTGTAATTGCTACATTGTGTTTTGTATGTTTGCTAGGGTGTTCTTAGTTGTCAGGGCATTGCTATTCAGTTGCTAGGGTGTTAAAGTAGTTCTAAGGTGTTACTAGGTGATTTCTAAGGTGATTTCTAAGGAAAAGCAATGCATTCAACAGGGTTTTTGTGGCGGCTTTCAGGAAAGTTGCTGTTATTCCAATCCAATCCGACTTCTGACCTGTAATGCCGCCTGAATCGTAATCATACACTGCTCGTCCGTTGGCCAGAGGAGAACTGAGCGACTGAGTCTGGTTTCTCATAAGGTTTATTTCTCCATTCTGTCACTGGTGGAGTTTTGGTTCGCCCTTTTCACCTTTGTTGCCTTTGGCTTGTTTAGTTGGGGATTCAACAATAATATTGATTTCAATAACAATATTCAACAATAATATTTTTTATATATTTTATATATTTTGCTGTGTGATTTCTAGGGTATTTTGCATAATTGCTTGGGCATAACTAGGTTGTTTCTAAGGGGTTGCCAAGGAAAAGCTATGTAGTCAGTTTTTTTTTGGGAGGTTGCTAAGCACTAATTTGCAATTGTTATAATGCTCCTAGGGTGTTGCTAGGATGTTATTTCATGTCTGTGGCTAAAATGGTGAGCCAAAGTGAATTCTGAAGTCATTCTGAAACGCCTCACAATGGTGACAATTTGAAACGACTGCTCTCATATCGTCACACAGACGTAATTTGATTGGGTGTGAAGTGTTTTTTAACACATCCAGACTTAAGGTGTCGCTGTCGTTGATTTGCTGTCAGCAGCTGTAGAGTTTTAACAGCAAATCAAGACTCTCAATGAATAACTTGATGAAAGCATCAAACCCAAATGTGAAGGTGAGAAATGTAAGATGACACTGTATGTGTTTCTTTAGATATATGGTTTCTAATTAGACTCTAATAAAAGATAGACGGCGTGTCTTCACTTCCTTTCACTGTAGAAAAATGAAGCCAAATTAACTATGTAAATGGCTCCTCCTCCTAAGTATCAAGGTCCCGCCCACATTTCCCATTAGCAGAGCTGTCAATCATAATGTAAAACCCCAACAAATAACTGACTAAATCCAAACTTATTGGAAAAGCGAACACTTGAACAAACATCAACGTGATAAGAGCTACCTAAAATGACGGAAACCATCTTTGGAAAAATTTGAAGTGAAATTGGATGAAGTTGAGTTTGGCTCGAATCCCATTGGATTACATGGAGAGGACGGGGCTTATGACCTATACTGCAGCCAGCCACCAGGGGGCGATCGAAATACTTTTGCTTCAGGACATCCTAGTTTTAATTAGGGATGTCCCGATACCACTTTTTCACTTCCGATACCGATACCGATGCCGCACCTTTGGCTTTTGCCGATACCGATATTAGTCCGATATTTTTTTTTTCGTGGTCCGACGTGCCGTATACGGCCCACAGGGTGGTTTATAGGTTTAACTTTGTGAAAGACAAAACAAAACAAACACAAAAGTAAACATAATACATATCTTTGGAAAGCTGAGAAACTCGTGATTCGAACGACGTAAACCATTTTAAGATACAATCAACACAGCGGGCACAATCTGTCTCTTTGTCAGACCACCAACAGCCAAAACAAACCAACACAAACTGGAAGAAACTCACCAATTAGCCATCTGTTAGTCCACATTCCAACAAAAATGGTTTGGTTTCACTGTAAAGCGTCCATACAATCCAATTTGAAGAAGTTTTTAGTCCAAAACAATTGTATATATGAAACATCCATGGAATGTAAATAGTAGCATTTCGCGTTAGCCGACAGCGCTATCACAACTTCGACGCACTAATGCTACGTTCACACCGGACGCGAATAGGGCGTCAGGCGCGAATGATTTCAATGTTAAGTCAATGCAAGAAAAATTCCTGCGGCGCGAATGAGGCGTGGAGCGCGGCGCGGAAGACGCGAATACGCCTCATTCGCGCGTCAAGTTGGCGAGAATTGAGCGTTGTGCATTCACGCGTTTGACGCGAATTCGCGTCTGCCGCCCGAGTTGAAAAATCTGAACTTTGGCGTGAATTCGCGCCGCGTTAACCAATCAGGAGCCTAGCTGCTTGCTCACGTGGTGAAGTGTCTGGATGCTTCAATAAATTATTTTGTTAATATGACTAAATGCATGGTGGGATTATGCACAACAAAGCAAATGTTTCATCACATAAAACATTATTTCTATATGGAGACATGTTCATTTTGTATTGAATGTTATTCATTCCATATCTAGAAATAGTATTATGTTGTAAAGACAATCAACATATGTGCATAAATTCGTGTCTGGACGTGAGAGAGAGAAAAAAAAATCACAGGACAGGTTAATAACTTTTGAAGGCTGGCTCTATTTATTATCAAAACAAAAATAAATGACAGCTAGATTAGATGGATGAGGGGCCGGGCGAGGGTGATCCTCGCTCAGATGCGGGACAACAGGTCATCAAACTGGGCGCGTGACAGGCGGAAGTACCGCTGACAGCGGCCGTTATCCAGCGCAGCTCCTGGAGCGAGCAAATGGTGAAACTCGCCAAACGGTTCGGCTCCGAAGGGTCCGGTGGACACAAATATACGGCGACGATGATCCCCACGCCGCTGTTCTGCTATCCAGAGTAAATACAGAGCGGTAACTCTCTTGATGAATGCTCGGTCGACATAAAAACAATGACCGCCAACGGATTTTGATTCTGACGCGCGTCACGCGCGTAAATTTCGCTTCAAACTTTACGCGCGCCAGTTTCGCTCTTGACACGCAAAGCGAGAGTGATTCTCTGCGCGCGTGTGCGTAAACACAACAATCATCACGTGACAGGCTGCGCCGCTAAACTGGATATCGCTCATATTTTTTTCTCCCCTCCGATCTCCGATCTAGCGTTCTGGGCCGGTATCGGCGCGATACCGATGCCGTGGATCGGATCGGGACATCCCTAGTTTTAATGCTATAAAAGTATTTTTTTTGTTTATAAATTAGTGCCGACAAAAACGTTTACGTTAGATGCGATTAATCGTGATTAATTGATTTGACAGCACTATTTTAAATGCATAAGTTTGTCAGGTTTTTTTAATGTAAAATTTTTTTGCAACTTTGTTGCAAAACAACATTGTTGTCAGCAATGTTTTAAAACATCTTTACCACGTAAAAATGTCCACTGTGCTTTTTATTAAATTTTAAATGCACAGATTTTATTATAATTTCAACTGAATCGTTCCAGAAACATTTGTTTTTAAGCTAAATATTTTGCTATTTTAACAACATTTCAGAATGTTACTGGT